CTTCTTCTTCTTCTTCTTCTTCTTCTTCTTCTTCTTCTTCTTCTTCTGGTGGTGGTTTTTGTTTTCTTTTTCTAGCAGCAACGTAGAGGAAAACTCCACCATTTGTAGGAAAATATATGGAACTGCAAATTGTTATCACATTAAGCTAAATAAGCCAAACTCAGAAAGCCAGCAACAAAAACCATTTCTCTCTTACGAAATCTAGATTAATATGGAAAAGATAAGAAAGAAGAAAGGGAGAGCTCTTTGGTCAGAAAAGGGATGCTGGCATGATGGAGGCTGATGAAGAACTTTACTAAACGGTTCCCAAGTATACAGCCCATTCCATTCCAGTTACTGAGGAGACAAGTAAGACTGGCCCCCTTCACTGTGCCGAGCAAGCAGCGAGGTTAGGATGGTGAGGTGATCGCAAAAGAACAAAGTGAGGTCATTACATGCAACATATTACATGCACCCTATGTCCAGGAATGGATGAATGTGTGAACTGAACAACACGCAAGATGTGAATAACTGACTAAAGAAAGCAGAGGTAGGGCTGGAGAGATGGCTCAGCCGTTAAAGGCTAGGCTCACAACCAAAAATATAAGAAAGCAGAGGTAGTGTGTCGTGCCTTGTACCTCTGCAGAGGGGTTAAACAGGAAGGGTGCAGGAATGGACATTAATGGTGGCAGTGGCAGGCATGATAGAAGCATGAAGACAGGAGGGGGAAAGGCCCGCTATGAAGCGAATTTGAGATGATTTTATTTTTTGTTGATTTGTTTTGCAGAAGACTGCCAGGCTTCCATTTAGGAGATGTGTACGAAAGTCAGTTTGAACTCAAGTGTCACTCACTCTAGTGGCACATTCTTCACAATGATGCAAAAGTGGTATTCTGAAGGTCTCTAGTGTTAATCCATTCAATTCTCAAACAAGCAAAATAATTTCTTTTTAGATAGTTTGCCACTTGACACATCCAGGCTATTGACAGTAAAATTGCCTTTAAAAGAAAAGTTTTTCTAGCTGCTGCTTATAGAACAAAAGAAAAAGCCAACCTCAGTTCTTTCAGAGCTGAAGGATTCTCAGGGACATTTTAAATACCCAGTGTCTCTGTCCAAGGGACAGTTGTGCTGGTATATAGCACAAGAAACTCACATTTAACCAGGTAAACAATATCCCAACTCCCACTTCTATTCAAGAGTTAGTATACATTCCAGTTAACCCAATGAAGGAGAGTGTGACTGTGACCTGTGAAATTCAGTTCAGTAGGAAACGGGGGAGAAAACACTCTCCAGGTTTGCCTTACACTAGGAAGGACACTCTTCAGTTACACTTCATTTCTTAGCTGCTTGTGGTTTTGACAAGGAGATCCTTCAGCTAGTAATGGAAAGCTGAAAATAGGAAATGGCAGGAAAAGAGAAGGGCTGTGGCGGGTGATAAGAAGTGAAGGAGAGTGCATAGAAGCAGCAGGACTGCTCTGACCAGCAGTACTGAGAGGGTGGACTCTGAGTCTAGACTTTTCTCAAGGTCTTTTCCATAGACGCCTGGAAGGGCTAAGCAGCCCATTTCTTACATTCTTAGGGCAGCTTTGTCTTCTCCATCCTACCATTGCTGTCAGATCTATTCCAGGTACGTGGGATCTGCCTTTAGTTTCCTTTGTCCTGGGGTCTCTGGCAGAAAAAGAGGCTCAGAGGGAGCTGCACTGTGGAAAGCGCCCCTTGGCATAGCCTGCAGGCCTTTTAGTGGAGGTTCTCTGTTCCTGCCTGGTATCTACCAGTTTTTCTTCCTTCCCTTCAGGGTAATCTCTCATTCTGACTCTATCTGTGCCTTGTCCTGCCAACCCCAAACCAGACCCTGAACACACAACCTAGGTAAACCTCTTCCTAGGTTTATTCTTTCCAAGGACAGAGGGGACCATGGATTTCTGGCTGATCTTGTCTTCTGTATTTCCAGGACCTTAAAGGCAACAGAAGACCAAACAGAATATAATATTTCAGTAATTCTGTCATAATAGTAACTTGGAATTGCTAAAGATTGAAGTACTTGCAGTTTTCTAGAGCCTTGGAAATGTCCCCTGTTCAAAAAGAGATGACTGAGAGGTCATCTTTATATTTTGTTGATTATTTTAGAGTTTGCCTGCTTCCCTTTCCATCTGCTCCTCCCTCCGCCCTCCGATCCTTCTCATTCCACACCCCCCATTTCCTTTCCCTGTAGGACTGGAACCCAGAGCCTCATGAGCACTAAGACTCCCCACATACCACTCTGCTGTACTGTAGCCTACTTCTTTCTTTGTGTGTGTGCATATTTGTATGTGTGTTGGTGCCCATGTGTGCATGCATGCACATGTGGAAGACTAAGGACAGCATCAAATGTAATTCTTCACGTGCCATCCAACTTCTTTTTAATCAGTTAACGAGCGTGTGTGTACACACACACACTTGAGTATGTGCACGAATGCTATGTGGAAATCAGGTCAAAGGGCATTTTTGAAGAGCTGGTTCTCTCCTACCATTAGTTCTGGGAACTGAACTCAGGTCCTCAAGTACTTTACTAATTGAGCAATCTGCCCCTAATCCATTTCTTTAATTAGTAGTTCATGACTGGTTTAAGAAGTATCTTTTTTCAGTATAAGAAATGTTTTAACATTATAAATTATTTTTTAAAGCCTGGAAAAGTACAGGCACAGTGTAAGTATGTCTGTGTACCAGCCTCTAACCCACATTGAATACATATTAAACTTTTTGCCATAAATCCTTAAAACATACCATTTTAAAAAGAGTGTTAGGCCCAGCCAGTCTTACTCACGCTTTGATTCCAGCCTCCCTCTCCAATAGCTACTCTGCTGAGCTTGTTTGTAGATCTCACATTCTAAGCTTTATTACATGCATATGGTATTATAAGCAGCACTGACAGTATTGCATGTGTATGATTTACAGTAAGTGGTGTTCTGTATGCATCCTTCAGCAGTTTCCTTTTTTCCACTTATATTTTTTGAGAAACAGATGGTATTCACCTAGTGAGCTACTAAATATTTGCTATCTACAGGTCAAACAGGAGTGTAACGGTCTTAGCTACTTCTTTTGTTGCTGTTACGAAATAGCTGACAAAGCAAGGTAAGTAAGGAAGGCTGTGTCCTGGGCTACAGTGTAGGAGATAGGATTCTTCACAGTAGGGAGTCATGGTGACAGAGCAGGAGGTGACTGGTCATGGTGTATCTACATCAAGAAGGAGAGAGTAAAAAGGAAGTGGGCATGACCTTTATAATCTCGATGGAGGCTAGGCAATCTCTGTGGGCCTCAAACTCACATGTCAGTAGATTAACTTGTGTGAGGAGCTCTGTGTAATTCCAGGAAGCTTTTGTAAATATTTGCCATTGTGCTGTAGGTTACTGTGGGTGGAGGAGTCGGGGAAAGGGGAATTTTGGGTAGTGGATGAGGGAAAGTCTGGCCAAGCTGAGTCAGAGGACAGTTTGAGGCAGGTGGAGGGAAAATAAAGGATCTAGGAACTCAGGAAGTGATCATGCATCAAAGGAAGCAGTGTTGGTTTCTGACGGCTGGAGCTTTAGGGTTGGTAGAAGGCACACCATTTTGGTTTCAGGGCAATTTGGGGCTATTTCTAATGCCCTTTTCCCTCAAACTGTTCAACAAAGCCCAGTAGATCTTGCCAATCGTATCATTTTTACATTGACTGGGTTCTGGAGAAGCCAGGTTAATTGACCCGAAAAATAGCTTGCCTTCTGATGGTTTACTGTCAGTGTTTAGTGTGCAGTTCTAAGTCCTTGTAATTTTTTTAAAAATATTTCTTTTGTTTTTGAGATTATAATTATATCATGTCCCTCTTCCCTTTTTTCTATACAAAGTCTACCATATACCCCTCCTTGATCTCTTTCAAATTCATGGCTTCCTTTTTCCATTAGTTATTGTTTACATATGTGTGTGTTTGCATGCACACATGTGTGCATATGTATGTATGTGTGTGTGTATGCATGTATGTGTGTATGTATGTGTGTATGTATGTATGTATGTATGTGTGTATATATGTATGTATGTATGTGTATGTGTATATGTATGTATATGTGTGTGCATGTATGTGTGTATGTGTGTGTGCATGTATGTGTGTATGTATGTATGTGTGTATGTATGTGTGTATGTGTGTGTATGTATGTCTGTATGTATGTGTGTATGTGTATGCATGTATATGTGTGTATGTATATATGTATGTATGTGTATGTATGTGTGTATGTATGTATGTATATGTGTATGTATGTGTATATGTATGTGTGTATGTGTGTGTATGTAGGTGTGTATCTGTGTGTATGTATGTGTGTATGTATGTGTGTGTATGTGTATGTATGTGTGTATGTATGTATGTATGTATGTGTGTATGTATGTATGTGTATGGTGGTGCACATGTGAGGTTGTGTGCATGTGGAGCCAGAGGACAGCTTTTGAGAGTTGAGATTCTTGCCTTCCATCTTGTTGAAGCAAGGTCTTTTGTTTCTGCTGTTCAGCTAACCAGGTCAAGAGTTTCTAGCAAGATCTTTTTGTCTCAGCCTCCTTTCTTACCATAGAAGCACATCAGGTTTTTACTAATATGCCTTCCATGGATTGAATTAAGAGCTTACCCTCTGAGCCATCTCTGGCTCTGGAGAAGGCTGTATTGGTAAAGTGCTTTCCATGCAAGTGTATGGACCTGAGTTCTGATCCCAACAGCCACATAAAAAGCTGGGTCTAGGGAAGAGCATCTGTAATCCTAACACTGGAGGGTCAGAGACAGACAGGTCCCTGAGTATTCCTCTCAATCAGGATAGCTGAATGAGTGAGTTCTAGGTTCAGGGAGAGACTTTGTCTCAGAACTAACATGGAGAGTGACTAGGATGTCACGTCATATTGACCTCTGGCCTCCACATGCAAAAGCACACATAATTACACACACAACATACAAGCCTATACATATATGAGCAAATGCTTGTATGTGCATATAGGCACATATAAGAGATTATATTTTCAGGTAGTTGTAGACATGAACAACTGCAATCCCAGGGCAGAAACAGAGGAATTTTTGAGTTTGAGATCAGCCTGACCCTATCTTAGCTTGTCACACTTCAAATGTATATCTTAAAGTTCACTCTATGTTTGTTTCATTGGAATACTGAAAGACGTAAAGCAACATCTTTTATACTTGTTAGATATAAAGGCAAAAAAAAAAATAAGAATCACCTATGGGTAAAATGATTTCTAATATATTACATGCTAATACTTTGCTTGATTGTGGAAAAATAAAATTATTATATATAATTAACAAATTACATATAATCAAATAGGTATGACTAAGCATGGAGCCCCAGCTTTTTATTTACCATTCCCAATGCCAAGTCATCAGTATAGTTAATTTGCACCCTTTAAAACTCTAGGCAAGTGGTAGAGATCATTTTGAATAAGGCATGCAGGATGACCAAGACTGGACTGATTTACCACTGGAATAGTAGTTTGAAAAATTAGGAAGTTATGCAAGATATCCTGGTAATTAATTTCAACACGACATAAATGTACCTATAAAGAGTCATAACTGTCAGGCCTAGTGGTACACACCTTTAATCCTAGCACTCAGGAGGCAGAGGCTTATGAATGGATCTCTGCGTTCAAGGCCTGGTCTACATAATGAATTATCTAGGACAGCCAGGGATACACAGAGAAACACTGCCTCAAAAAAAAAAAAAAGTTGTAACTGTAGAAAAGCTTATAAAAGTGGGAACTTAATAAAATAAATGCTTAATAGTAGGATGTAAGGAACTGAGTCAATAGGCTGACTCAATTGGACCATTATCTTTTTCATTGATAAATTTAAGCCACTTTTAGTATTTGTAAAACAAAACAAAAAAGTGCAAGGTTAAATAGTGGGCAATATACTATTTAAAAAACCTATTTAATTGTATTAAATTAGGACTAATCTCTAGAAAAAAATGTAAGCCATAGAAATCTATCATTTTGCGAGAATATCAAAGATTATTAGAAGTTGATATGTAGATCACTCCAGTTTAGTGCATGTGCAGCTGAGGCAGGCTGTGTGCTCAGATCATATCACGCTTTGAATGTTTCATATGATTTGACATATTAAATTGGCATGATAATTTAAGTGAATAAGTGATCTTGATAATTGGTGTGATTTTGTGAATATTTGGGGAAGTTGCAGCTCATAGACATGAAGTTATATATAAATATAAAAGCAGTGGAAAATGGGTTTCTCACTTAGCTTCAGTCCCAATTCTCTTATAGGACACAAGTATCTGCTTATATTCTGTGGTACATATTAACTGTCTTGTATAACTAGATATACATGAAAGAAACATAATATAATTTGTATTCATCTTCTATGCTAAATATAAAAATCACTAAGTCACTTAAGAATAGGAGTTGAGCTGGGTGTGGTAGTGTATGCCTATAATCTCAACAGTTAGGAGGAGGGAGCAGGAGTATCTTGACTTCTGGGCTACGTAGTAAGACCTTGTCTCCAAAACAAAACAAAAAGGTTGAGCTGTTATACGTCAGAAGTCTTAAACATGTAAGTAACATACATGTTTAGATTTTTTTTATCATACAGAAACAAACATGGATAGGAACAAAGATGTCTTTTGAAGCATTGTGTGTGCATAAGAATTGGAAACCATGAGGAATTCACAATGTAAATTATGAGATAGTAATATGAGGCCATTAAATATTTTATTGATAAGTAACATGAAAGCATACTAGTAATGCATTAATACTAAATACAAGCACATTTTAACTACTCCCCCAGAGGTGCCTTTGTTTAAAAAGTGGGTCTGAGAAGACATAAAGATATTAGGTAGTATTTATGAACAGTAAGATGAATGTATTTAAAATTTCTGTGTGTATTTTATACAAGCAACAACATTGTTTTCATTTTTATTTATATGTGTGCCCCTGCTTGTTTGTATGTGAACTATATGTGTGCAGTACTTGCAGTGGTCAGTAGGGGGTGTTAGATTCCCTGGAACTGTAGTTACAGGCAGATGTGAGCCACTTGATGTGGGTGCTGAGAATTGAACTTAGAGCCTCTGAAAGAACAGCTAATGCTCTTAAACACTTAGTCCGCTTTTTACTCATAGCCTAATTTTTTATTTCCCCCAACCCCTTTTAGTATGCCTTCTCTGTTCTGAGAAGGGCTCCAGTAATCTGGAGTGAACTTTCACAGGGAAAGGAGAAGAATGTGACTATGGTTGGATTATTTTGAAGGTGAATCTTTCAGGCATAAATTCATCTCTGCATGAGCAGATGCTAATTTTTTGTGGCTATTGTGCATGTCATTAAGTTTACTTTCTTTGTCCTTTATATGTGCAAATGCTATGCTTCCCCTAAACTGAAATAGTCAGCTCAAATACAAATGAAAATCATATGAACTGTTGAGAAGTTCAGGTCCCATAGAAGCACAGGGTGTGGAAACCAAGCCCCCCAACCCCCGCCCCGTGCTGAGTCTGTTATTGTTTCCTGACTAGATCTGAATGTGTCACCAGGTGACCTACTGTTTGTTCCTTGTCAGTCAGACCTTCTAGATGACTTCTTGCAGAGACTGTGCTTTCTGTGTGCCTTACATACATTACCAAATATTTCACGGGAGCTAATATTCTTTTTGTAATATGTTCTTTCTAGATATAAAGACCTGAAGTAGCCTTTCCGGTCTAAAGATGGAAAACAGTACCACCACCATTTCTCGGGAGGAGCTTGAAGAGCTACAAGAAGCATTTAATAAAATAGGTAAGGTTGAGGGAGCTGTGGTGCTGGTTCTGCTTGCTGCCAGGCTTCAGGGATGGGGCAGTATCCTGTCTCCTGCTGCCTCCCAGCTCTCCTCAGGGCATTCCCTTTCTTTTTCTACCCAGGTTTCACTTAATTCTTTCTGAAAGATAAGCTAACAACAAGCTGGCATTTCTAGGTGAATTGGACTTTAGTTCTTGGTCATCACGCATAGAGGATATTCCAGGTTAATGAATGACAGTGTAACTGAAAGCACTTTGCATGGTATGCTCGTTACAGAAAAGAAAATATAGAACCACTTCCTTGTGTATAAACTAAACTCTGTCTCATGCCTTAGTCACTAACAGAAGTACTTTCTGACTCAGTACACAACCTTTAAAAATATAATTTTGTTTTTAAAGGCTATATGTCTCCTTCTTCCTCATATACATTTTTTTAAAAAAGCTAATATTTTCTTTTTTTTATTTACATTTCATATGTTGTCCCCTTACCCCATCCCCCACCCACCCGGGAAACCCCCATCCCCTTACCCCTCCTCCTTCTTCTCCGTGGATGTAACCCCCACCTACACCCCCACTCCCACTTCCCCACCCTCAAAATTCCCACCCCCTGGGGCGTCCAGCCTTCATGAGGTCAAGGATCTCATCTTCCACCTATGCCCAGCAGGGCCCTCCACTCTTACATATTCAGCTGAAGCCCTGGATCCCTCCCTAAGTGCTCCCAGGCTGGTGGTTAGGACCCTGGGAGCTGTGGTTGGTTGGTATTGTTGCTCTCCTCATGGTGCCACAAACCCTTTCAGCTCCTTCAGTCCTCACTCTAACTCCTCCATTGAGAACCCCATGATCAGTTCAATGGCTAGTTGTGAGCATCTGCCTCTGAATGTCAGACTCTTGAAGGCCTCTGAGGAGACATCCATATCAGGCTCTTATCAGCATCCGAAAAGCTAATATTTTCAAAGCCTGTGTTTCTCCTTTTTTTTTTTTCCTTTCGTTCTCTGTCATCCCGTGTTTCAGTTTGACATAATCAGCTAAGGAGCTTTGTACTTTCCTCCTCTAAAACATTTTCCTCACTGTTTGTCAAATCAGTTTCACATGTTCTTGTTTAAAAACTTCTGTAATCAAGGAGAATGAGGATACCCCCCTCCTTCCCTCCCTCCCTCCCTCCCTCCCTCCCTCCCCCCCCTCCCTCCCTCCCTCCCTCCCTCCCTTCCTTCCTTCTTTCCTTCCTTCCTTCCTTCCTTTCTTTCTCCCCTCCTTCCATCTCTCCCTCTCTCCCTCCCTTCCTTTACTTTAGTTTGTAAATGTATGTGGATAGAAAGTGAACTCTGAAAGCTGAGCTCAGCGGGTAGACACTAGGCCTCAAACTCACCTCTTTCCCCTTTCCCCAGCAGAGTTCTTGGGTAATAAACTGCTGCTTGGAAAACGAGATGGTAGAACAGAGAGGATATGACTATGGATGGTCTCACTCATGGGCGTCTCACCAGCCTCCTGAGCAATGACTAAAACTCCCACAGGGATAACCTTAAAGTGTGATGATGATAATAATAATTATTATTAATTATTATTGTTTTTAAAAATATAGCTTGTCTTGTCTTTTAACGGCAACCCACGAATCATCCGTGTGTAAATAAGCACTTATAAATCTCTCTAGGCCTTCCTCTTCTGCCTGGAGTGGGGAGTGGAAGTGTTCTCGTTTGCCACTGTAACATCACGTGACTATGGCACGATTTGCAGAAAGCCATTAGCAATACACGTTTTAGAATATTGTCTGCAGTGCTCGGCATTTTTTCCAAGCCAAGAACTGGGCAGTTATTGAAATGTTCTCTTTTATTTTAGGCACTTCAAACCAGGTAATAAAAGTGGTTCTGCCAGCTCGGCGCTGTAGTCACTGTACAGGTGCCCTGTAATGAAAGAGACCCCTCCTGGGTCTCAGTGAAATGAGTTAGTAATCTGTTTTCTTTGTTGAGCGTGCCAACTTTAATCTTTCTGACTCACGGAAACATAATCTTGCTATATTTTATTAATGGTATTTTGAACAGACTGTCTACTGATGGAATAATTTTGACAGCAAGATCGTTTGCTCTGTGAGGGAGCCACTAACACTGGCAGAATGTGGACTTGCTGACTTTTTACAAGAGAAATGGGGATTCTTGAGCTCAGGAAACACAAACAACTCTCCCAGAGGCAGAAGATACCCATCATGTACTGGAGTGGGTATTTTGAGGTCACTGGGTAAAGTGGGCAGTTAAAAATATGTCTGCCCTGTTTTCTTTTTAAAACCAGGTTAAAATATACCAGAGCTTGTTGCTTGTCTCGAGAGTCCAGTTGACTGGGAGCAAGTCCATTCTCGTTACTCAGGGCCATAGTCCTCTTCCACAAGTCTCCTTCGTCTTGTCACACTACAACTCCACATTTGTTAAACAGCTGCTCCCAGGTCCCTCTTCCCCTGCCCCTGGAAGCCACCATTGTCCTTTGTGGCTGAATCTTCTCTTGTATGTACCTTGCACAAGTGGAATCATCAAGTAGCTGTGGTTTTGTGACTACCTTGTCACTTAGCATGGACCGATGCCTTTATGATGTAGCGTGCGTCACAACTGCCTTCCCTTTTAAAGCCTGAATAGTATTCTATTGTGTGCATAACAACAGCCTTTTGCTCATCTGTGCTTTCTTTTTTTCTTTTTTTTTTATCTTAATATAATTTATTTTGTCATGTTTTGATTTTTAAAAAATAAACAAATAAGTATATACAGATACTCATTTTTTATATTTAACAATATTTAATAGAGAATCCTTTGCTCTTACAGCACATCTTTTTTTTTCCCTTTTTTTATTGGATATTTTATTTATTTACATTTTAGATGTCATCCCCTTTCCCCATTTCCCCTTCCTAGAAACCCCTATCCCATCCCCCCTCCTCCTTTTTGCTTTTATACCATTTTGATTACATGCATGTATTAAGGTCAGTTCTAGGTTGAGGATCTAGCAATACAATAGATGCAAATACTCAAAGAACAAGCAGGAATCTAAATTTTAGGCTAGAACAAGGAAGTAGGCTTCAGACTTGAAAATGACTGAGCTAGGACAGGGAAGTAGGCTCAGATACTTTGGTCATCCTGATAAGCCCTTAGAAACAGTGATCACTGGAGTATTCACATAATTGTGTTTAATGCCTTGCTTGTTCTTTGACTATTTGTGTTTATTGTCTTGCCTGTGCTTTCATCGATAGCCTTCTGGGTTCCTGGTTGTTAGAATCCTGTTGTTGTGGACACAGCACAGATAACTGCTTGAATTCCATCATCAGTTCTGGGTGTGCTCCAGATGTGGACTTACAGGGTCCTCTTGCGTCCACATTTGATTTCTGGGGTACAGCTGACTCCTTTTCAATGTGGAGGTGTTCCTTTCTAGCCCCACCAACATGGTACAGTTGTTCTCATTTCTGCCTGTCCTTACTCACCACTGCCTGCTCTGTTGCTGTAGTTTGCTTTGTAATAGCCACCCCTACAAGTTACAAGTAGAATCTTACAGTTTTGTGTTTCCCAAACAAGTACAGAGGTTGAACAAATTTCTTACGGCGACTGGTATGTTTTCTCTAGAGAAATGTATGTTCAAGCCCTTTGCCTATCTCAAGATATTTTACTTGTGTCTCTGTCTAATGATTTCAGTCTAAGGTCAAAGTCTGGGCAGCTATCAGTGTGTGAGTTTACTTCTGGGACCTGTATTCCATTTCATTAGTCGGTTTGTTGGCTTTTGGGCCAGTACTCGTTTTGGTTACTGTGGCTCTGTAGTGTAGTTTGATGTAAGATATTGAAGGCATCCAGCACTGCTCCTTCTCTTTAGGATTGATTTGGTCATTAAGAGTGTTTTGTGTTTCTATATGAGTTTTAAGATTGTTGTTTTGTGGTACTATGAAGAGTGTCATTGGATTTTTGATAGAGGTTGCATTGAATACGAAGACTGTTTCTTAGTAATTCAGTCGTTTTTATATTAATTCTGCCACCCATAAGCATGAGAGGTCTTTCCACCATCTCATGTCTTCAGACTAATTCTTGATTGTTTCAAATTTTTCATTATAGAGGTCTTGATTAGATTTATGTATTTGGTCTCAGTCTCTCTCTCTCTCTCTCTCTCTCTCTCTCTCTCTCTCTCTCTCTCTCTCTCTCTCTCTCTCTCTCTCTCTCTCTGACCGATTACTATTAGGGATTCCTGGCTCACTGTGCTGGGCTCGGCAGAGTCCTTCCTAGCTCTCCTTTGTACCCATCGCTCTCATCACGTTCCTCTTTCTGTGCTCTGCCCTCCTCACTCCTTCTCTCTCATTTGTTGTTTTTTCAAGACAGAGTAGCTCTGGCTGTCCTGGCACTCACTCTGTAGACCAGGCTGGCTGTGAACTTGGATCCACTGCCTCTGCCTCCGAGTGCTGGGATTAAAGGTGTGCACCACCACCAGGCTCCTCTTCTCTCTTTGCACAGTATCCCTTTAAGCATTTTCTGCACTGCTGGCTTGGTGGTCAGTGAACTGTCTTAGTCTGTGCCTGTCTTGAAAGGTCCTTATTTCTGCATCAGTTTTCATTGATCGACAGCTCTGCTGGAGATAGATAGCATTCTTAGTTGGCAGTGATTTACTTTAAAGATTTGAAACATGATGGCATTTTATGATTTCTGGTTTTTAGGGGTAGAGTAAGAAATCTCATGTTTTTCTGATGTATTTTTTATAGATGAGTTACGTTTTTCTTACAGATTTTAATATTTTCTTGTTAACATCTTGGCTGAATATATTAAGGAGACATTTTTCTATCGTCATGCTTCTTTGGGGGTTCTCAATGTCTCTTGTGATTAGATGTCCATTTCTTTCTATAGACTTGGGGAACTGCTAGTTACAGTTTTGTTGATAGATTTTTTCTTTAATCTTTAACTGAGTTTCTACTCTGTGGATTATTAGGTTTACTCTTTTGATCTTATCTCAGAGTTCTTCAACATATGGCCATCCTCGCTCCCTCTCTGGATTTGTTAATGTTTGACTGTAGTACTTTATCCACCTCATTATCTATTCCTGGTTTTCTTTCTTTTGCCAATGGGTGTTTTCCACTGCATTTTTATTTGGTTCATAAACTTTTCAATTTTTAAAATCTCTGTTCATTTAGTGCCCTCCCAACCCTTAATATTTTTGCTGACTTTCTTTTCTTTCTTTTTTCCTTTTATTGGATATTTTCTTTATTTACATTTCAAATGCTATCCCCTTTCCACGTCTTCCCTCTGGAAACTACCCTATCCCATCTCCCCTCCCCCTGCCTCTATGAGGGTGCTCCCTCACCCACCCATCCTTCTAGCCCTGGCATTCCCCTATGACTTTCTTTCTTTGTTGCTTTTCATACATATTGGTGCTTTACTCATACTTCACAGACTTGCCCTCGGTGTTGCTGGGGTGTTTCTTTATGTTCTAGATTGATTTCCTTCCTTCTTTTCTCTTTTCCTCTTTTCCTTTTTCCTTCCTTCCTTTCTTTTTTCTCTCTCTCCCTACCATCTTCCCTCTCTCCTCCCCTTCCTCCCTCCCTTCTTTTTTTCCTTCCCCTACTTGTTTGTAATCCTATTTGAGGTCATTGACCATTTTCTTTACTAGTAAACTTGGGAGATTTTCATTCAACATTAATCATCCCCACTTCAGCTTCCGTAGTTGAGGAGTTAGGATCTTTTGGAGACACCATGTTATCTTGCCTATTTTTTTTTTAAATGTTTCTTTGTTGCTATGACATGTCTGTTGGGTTGAATATCTCTTCTCCTTTTTATTTGGGGATGTTTTTACTGAGCATCCTATTCCTGAGGGCTCATGATAATGCTCTAGTATCAGCCAGAGAAAGCAAACTGCTTTAACATCAAAACCACAGCAAGCAATATAAGGGACAGAAATGCAGTTAGAGCCAGCCCACCAGTGCATCAGTGAGAAACAAGATAGAAGGTGGCAAAACTAATGTGGAGCGTTGGATAAAGTTAATATATTAATTAGATGTGGAAATTGTAAATTAATGATCTAAGGGAAAGGGGACTGGATGAGGGAAAATCAGAAGACAAACGGAACAAGAGAGGAGAGAATGCTACAGAGGAGAAGAGAAGTGCAAGAAGTGAAAATCAAACAGGAAGTAGGGGTGTAAATGGATGTGTGCTCGCTGGAAGTCAGCTTACATTCTTCTCTCATTTAGCTGGGACCTCCACTTCTGGGGAGGTGCTGGCCATGGCTGGGATGGGTCTTCCCTTCTCAGTTAAACCTTTGAGGAAACACCCTCCGAGGCACACCCAGAGCTGTGTTCCCAGTTCTAAATCTAGTCAAGGTGACATAAAGATGGAGCTTCACATATATGGTTCTCTGGTATAATGGTGGCATTCTGGACTCTGAAAATCAGCCCTCATAAGATTCTATGTGAGCTGACTACTCCATGCCGTCGCCAGAACACTCAAGACGGCAGCTTGATCTGTTGCCAACTAAGCAGAATTGTTTTGTGCTGTCTTTGTTTGGAGTCCAGAGGTGCTCCCAGTCTCTAGGGAACCTGGCCACCTGCCCAAGGCCATTAGTGATAACATGAAAACATTTAGAAGTGTTTTTCCAGAAGTCCAAATATGGGGGTGAAATTTCCTTAACACCTAATTCCAAAATGTTATCAAACATGATTAAACATATACAACAGTATGAGAAATACATACATGCAATAAATTTTCAACAAGTAAACTGCCACCAGAGAAAAATAATTACATGTGTTTTATATGCAGCAGATAGATATTATGTAAGCATTGTGGGAGTTGAGGCATACACACTCACACACACACATACACACACATGCACACATTTGGTTTTTTAAGACAGGGTCTCTCTGTGTAGGTGTGGCTGTCCTAGAACTCAATTTGTAGACCAGGATGGCCTTGAACTCAAGAGATTCTCCTTCTTCTGCTTCCAGAGTGCTGGGGCTAAAGACATGCACTATGGCCAGGCTAAAAAAACTTTCTTTTAGATTTACTTATCTTATGTTTGTGAGTGTTTTGCCTGTATGTATGTATAAGCACCAGATGCATGCCTGGTGTCCCTGAAAGTCAGAAGAGGGCATGAGATCTCCTAGAACTGGAGTTACAGATAATTGTGAGCTACCATGTGGGTGCTGGGAATTGAACCCCAGTCATCTGCAAGAACAAGTGTTCTTAGCCACTGAGACAACTTTTTTGGCCCCCATTTTATAAATTTTATCAGCATAAAGTCTGGATGGTTATTCCATCTCGACCTTTGCTGATATTTTTCTCTTATATATCTGACACTCCCCAAGGCTTATTTCTCTGAAACTTAGATTTTTGTCAGAGCTCTATCTATACCATACACTTAAAATATATACATGGGCTTTAAATCTGTGAAATGAACTCGATTTAGGCATGAATATTTTAATTAAGTGTATTATACAGTATGATTATTTTAACGAGATATCTCCATGGTCTCTGGCATTTGAATACTTGGTACCCAGTTGGTGACACTGTTTGGGAAGGTTTAGGAGGTGTGGGTTTGCTAGATGACTTACATTGCTAGGGGTGGGCTTTGAGAGTTAATGAGTCAGGTCATTTTTAGTTCACTCTCTGTTTCATGCTTGTGGTTCGGTATGTGAGCCCTTGACCTCTTGTTCCTGCTTTGATGGACTCTTAGCTTCCTGGAACTATCAGTCCAGATAAGCTCCTTGTTCTGTAAGTTGTCTTGGTTATGGTGTTTATTATAGCAACAGAGAAGTAACTAGTGCCCACACACCCTGTATCATTCAGATATAGGAATAAAGTACTGGTTCTCAACCTTCCTAACTCTGGAACCCTTCAATATAGTTCCTCATGGTGTGGTGACCTCTAACCATGAAATTGTTTTTGCCTACTTTATAACTGTAACTTGGCTACTGTTATGAATCATAATGTAACTATCTGTATTTTCTGATGGTCCCGGGTGTGCCCTATGAAAGGGGTCTTTCAAACCCTGAAGGGGTCAAGACCCACAGGTTGAGAACTGCCAGAGTAAAGACTCCTCCCACTTATAGTTTAGAGTTCTGCCTTTCCTTCATTTGACAGTTTACCATGTATCTTTACAGATATTGACAACAGCGGGTATGTAAGTGACTATGAACTTCAGGACCTATTTAAGGAGGCAAGCCTTCCCCTTCCTGGGTACAAGGTGCGCGAGATTGTGGAGAAAATTTTAGTAGTTGCTGACAACAACAAAGATGGTAAAATCAGTTTTGAGGAGTTCGTGTCGGTGAGTAATCCAATACATTTCTAGTTATTAATCATTTGTTACAAGTAGGCTCTCAATAATGACTTTGTTAGATTTGGTATGACCTGGTTGCAGAGGCCAAACAAACCACTGCTCTCAAAATTATGGTGATGATGTTAATAACAAATATTATCGTGGAAATAATTTTCACAAATCATACAACAAAGGAGAATATTGAATGGAAGTCAAGTTCTGATAACAGTCATTCAGGCCCTAGAATAACTATGCTTAAGTTGAATATTATTGATCATTAGTATAATTGAATAAGTAAGATGTAAGTTTTCTAGTTTTGTATTCTTTATCTATTAAGTAAATATTTGAGCTCTGGGCGGTGTGAACAATGTGATGCGCAGAAAGGGGTGTGGCCTTGCTTTTATGGCATGTCCATATGGCAGGAAAGGCACAGTCACACAAGCGGCTAGAAACGCCAACTGTGGTGGCGGCTGTGGTAGAACAACACAGGCCCCAGGAGCGTTTAGGATCAGGGTTGGAGCTGAGCTTGAAGGGGAGAAGCTGGGGCTGGGGACTCGGGGAAGTCGCCTCCATCTGTGAAGATGTGAAGACCTGGGAAGAAAGAAGTTAGATAGGAAAGGGCAAATAGTATGAGAAGCAGTTAGAAGTGGCAGTGTGTCCGGGACCCTGTGGCACTGGAGACGCTGGCTCTCCCAAGCAATCTGAAAGAAGATTCATATGGGAGGAGCCGAGGGGATGAGCAGTGCAGCTGGAGAAGGAACCAGGTCTTGTGGGGCTGTGTAGGATTTTTTTTTTTTATTCTGACCACCATGAGGTCACTGAAGTAGGAAGAGGTAGTCTGATTAGATCATAAAAGAGTCATCTCTGCTGTTCTGTGTAGAAATTGTTACTTCATTTGGCTTTGCTGCTCTCTGTGGAGCTCAAGGAATCACTGGGGGGGGGGGGGGCTTTGTAAGCCTCTAGACAATCCGACAAATGCTGACTTATTTACTTGAGCATCTGTTTGTTCTGGGGATGTTCATGCAGCAGTTTGCTTTCACTGAAGCATTTTACTATCATTATTTTACATGATCTCATGGGCTATAGTATTAAAGACTTTAGCTGTACGTCTTCAGCGTGTTCAGTTTCAGTTCAGCTGTAATGTCGTCTAGTCGTCGGGCTACAGACATTAGTCCATTTTGTGTGATCAGTGAAATAGCAGAGTTGTCTGTTTGTACAGGTGTTAAGTATGAGAGCACCCAATTCATGCTTACATTTGTGTCATTTCAGATAAATGCAAACATTGGCTAATCTTCATGCCACTAGAATGTCTCAATTTTAACTTCTATTCCATTCTAGCTGATGCAAGAGTTAAAAAGCAAAGATATCAGCAAAACATTCCGAAAAATAATTAACAAAAGGGAAGGGATCACTGCTATTGGGGGAACGTCATCCATCTCCAGTGAGGGCACCCAGCATTCTTATTCAGGTATCTCCTCTCCGACTCTAGCCTGTCAATCATTGATGCGTTTCATAAATGTCATCCAGTTTAAGCTGCCGTTGTGATTCATACCATTATTTTATATACAGTGGAGGGTGAGAAAAACTGCAGACTTAATTATACTGTGATATCAGATTTAAATATATCTCGAGATCAGCTCTGCTAAACTCGAAAAATGACAGCATTACCGAATGCTTCTGTTCATGCTCCCACTGTATGTCAACCAAGTCATCAAAAACAAAACAGACGCTGTTTGTGTTTCCACTCTGATGGGTTTCATTATGATGTCTGAACCATTTGTAAAGGATTTTGGGGCGTGATCTCTGAGGATTAAATCTAGGGCCTCAGGCACACTTGGGGAGTGCTGTATCCTAGCTGTACCCCAGCCTTAGTCACCACTTTTTTGAGTGACTTTCTCACCGTGGTGACATGCTTGACTTGTAGAGATGATCTAAAAATGGGGAGATTCTCGCTTACTGTAAGGATTTTGTCCCTTCTATTTTCCAAGAGTGGGGATACTTGATTCCGGTTTTGATCAGGCCACCAAGTGTGTAGAGGATTTGTCACCTGATGTGCCTGATCTGATTGGATCCCTGGGTAGTTTGCTTCTTTTGAAACCCAAAGTAGCATTAACTCTCTCTTGAAAGGCTTGTGTGTGATAGGCAAGAGCCACCTCTGGAAACAATCAACTCATGCATGCACTTGTATGTCTATTATTTTTTGTATACGTTAACTATATTCACTATTGGGTTTCATTGTGATCTTTTTATGCACATTTATAATGTATTTGGACTTCTCCCACTCCAGCTGGCCACCTCCTTCCCAGCCTTAAATCTCAATACTTCTTTTATAAACCCCAGATCACAGCAGTTATATCCCCCTTAGGTAATAGTTTATTTCCATTGATTTCTTTCTTACCTTTTCCTCTGATTTAAACAATCTTTATGTAGGTGTGTATAATTGGCCTCTTGTGCTATGTTTCTAGGTGATTTTAGAAGCAGTTTACATTTGGGAACATTTTAACATCAAACCAAATGCATTTTGTAATAACGTAAGATGCATGCCTTCCTTCTGTCTGCCACGCAGTGAATCCCCTTTCTCCCTCCTGAAGTCCTTGACTGAATATCAGTGTTGCTCACTGTCCCTTAATAGAAACGAGCAAGTATGTTCTTGTTAGTGTGATAGATGGTGTGAATGAAGCTTGCCTACTGAGACTTTCTGTTTTCAGAGGAAGAAAAAGTGGCTTTTGTTAACTGGATAAACAAAGCTCTAGAGAATGATGCAGACTGTAGCCACCTTCTACCCATGAACCCCAACGATGGCAGCCTTTTCAAATCGCTTGCAGATGGCATCCTTCTTTGGTGAGCTGAACACAGGAGCCGTGCATTCTTACTGTCCCAGTGATGGGTGTTCCCTGGACACTGCAAACCAGAGAATGAGTTAGTCATGATTGTCCAGACATTTAAGTGCTGTGTGCTTTTCAACATTTCCCATGATAAAATATTTTGTGGTGCCTTTTGTATGTTACGATAATAATGCCATAGAGTTTCTGAATCCTTTACTGCATTGTAAAATGTTGACATGGTTTTTCTTTTCACCTCTCCATAAGAGAGTGCTGACTGGGGTGTGAGCATTGGGGTGGGGGACATAGAAGGAAGACACATCTTCATTAGACCCAAATGAAGCAGTGTTTCATTCTGGCTTCGGCTCTTTGCTGTCTGTTTCTCACTGCGCTGTAGAAGGTAGTGCATCTATCCTTATCATGTTTACCACAGGTGTGTGGTCACACACTTCTTTTTAAAAAACACTTTAAATTCAACTTCTTTGTTTTCTTTTGTGTGTTTTGCTTGCATCTGTATGTTCGGCACCCGTGCTTGATGCCTGTCAAGGTCAAAAGAGGGTATCATATCCCTCCAACTGCAGTTTCAGATGCTTGTGAGCCACCTTGTGGGTGCCTGGAACTGAACTCTGGTCCCCTTCAAGTCCAAGAAATGTTCTTAACTGCTGAACCATCTCTCCAGCACCAAGTTCCAGCACACATCTTTATACAATGCAACTGTCTTTTTTTTGTTGTTGTTGTTTGTTTTGTTTTGTTTTGTTTTGTTTTTTTGAGACAGGGTTTCTCTGTGTAGCCCTGGCTGTCCTGGAACTTACTCTGTAGACCAGGCTGGCCTCGAACTCAAAAATCTGCCTGTCTCTGCCTCCCAAGTGCTGGGATTAAAGGTGTGCACCATCACTGCCCGGCTATTTTTTTTTAATTAAAAAAAAATCCTTATAGTACAATTACAAAGTAGAAAATGTATGTCACAAATACTTATGGGACCTGTGACTAATTCAGTACCTGGCACATTGTCTTCCAGGTTGTTTTTTCTTTTTGCGTATTTATTTAAAAAGGAAACAAAATCCCTGAACCTACCCATAAGTATAGGAAAATATACCTTGGTCTCCATTTATAATTTTCATCTCTTCCTCCAGCTTTTAGAGAATTTCTGACTATGAGTCAAAACTACTTTCTTATTTTAGTTTCCAAAGATAAAATATATTCTGAAACATTAAGACAAAATCCATATTTTTTTTTCTTTTTGAAATGTCTACATTTTTTCCCTTTTGATTTTTCAAGACAGAGTTTCTTCATGTAGCTCTGGCTGTCCTGGAACTCTATATGTAGACCAGGCTGAAATGACTAAATTATTGAAGTCTTCAACCAAAGTGTTTGTTCCTTTACCTCCTGAGACAACACACAATTCGTAGTGTGTTACTTCCATGGAAGTCAGCTATTTCAGGATTTGTTTCAGGTAGCTAATGTCAGTGACCATCTGAGGAAACAGTGAAGGCTCAGATGCAGGAAGTGGAGGCGGGCTACCATAGAGAGCTGTGATGTGCTCAGACAGACAGCTGTCTTAGGTTTTCTAATGAAGCTCCCAACGTGAGGAGCAGCTCAGTAAGATGGAAAGGCTATTCTTTTCAAAAGTCACCCATCTGACTGCTTACCACGGTGAATTAAAAGCATTTCTAGAAAATTGCAGCTAAATGGTTCCTGTTTTCTCTTCAGCAAAATGATCAACTTATCTGAACCAGATACAATTGACGAAAGAGCGATCAATAAGAAGAAGCTCACTCCATTCACAGTGTCGGTGAGTACCTGCCTCTTGCTGGTAATGTGACCGCACTCAAAACTCTCTAGTGGTGTTGGAGATTTAAACATAAGTTGTCATTTTAAAAAATGGGAAAACAACTTCAGTGTTTCAAATTGAAACAGAACTACATTTTATAGTAGAATAAATTAAGATTTTAAGTACTTTGGATACATTTCTTTATTAAAGGTAATAGTACTAATTTATGTTGCAGTTGTTATTTTAGTGATGGTCTTTGGGTGCCAGTGTCCATCCGTTCTCCTGTCTTCCTCCTTTTCTTCTCTCCTTCCCTCCCTCTCCTCTCCTTCTCCTTCCATCCTCCTGTCTTCTTCTTTACATTGTACTGACTGCCTCCTTTGTCTTTGCCCTCCTTCTTTTCCTTTCCCACAGGGCACGTGGCAGGCTATCCCAGTAAAGAGTTGTGGGTCAGAGAGCACCATGCAGTTAGGTCATGTTTCACTAGTTCACAAAGTGTTTATTCTTTCTGTGCTAATCTTTCTTTAGAGGCTCACCATCGTCTTGGTTTATAGTCCCCAATTTTCCCTTTTATACCTGTTAAACAAATGTGTAACAATATTCACCAAGTATTTTAAAACATGTGTGAACTGAGCATGGTGGTACACACTCTTAATCCCAGCACTCAGGAAGCAGAGACAGTGACTCTCTGTGAGTTTCAGGTCCACCAGGGACATACAGAGAGACCCCGAGTGAAAACCAAACAACTAAACAGTTATGTGAATTATTCCCTGACTCTTCCCAGAAATTTTATAAGGTATATACTATGAGATCAAGAATATGCAATTCTTAATTTTGCTAAAATTATACTACCTTTCTTCTAAAGGAAACTATGACCTTAGACAGTGATGCAGGACTGTTTTTGAACTGGGAAAAGGTATTCCTCTTTATTGTCGTCCTTCAGAAATGGAAAACCTGGTGCTAAACACAAGACTTTCTTGCCTCTTCCTTGATAACTGGCCAGTGATGTTGTGTCCACCCAGTAGAAGTACCGTTGTCAAAGACCGTTTCTAACACAGTCACTTAAAGAATATTTTCTCTCAAATTTTGTGATAAGCTTTTCAGTAAATGAGTGTGAATACTGAAAGTGTTTACATCTGCCTTCCATTTTAGAAATACACAGGTCATAAGTGCTTATGGTACTGAACATGGAATCCAGCATTTCCTGTGGTTTTTATAAACTTACTGTTTACAAACTGTTAGACTTCCTTTAACGCTTGTGTGGAGTACATTAAATAACATAAAATATCTTGTTATTAATTCACAGTAGCTACAGGATGGAGCTGGGGGGCTAAATATCATACAGTTTTGTTTCTAGAGACATTTTTCCTATGTGATTATTAGTCCGAACCTTTAGGATGCGTGAGAGTGTTGATGTAAAATGAGAAAACGGGGGATTTTGAGAAAGCATTACCATGGGTGTTAACTCTGTCTTGGTAGTTTAAGATTTTAGAGTCCAGAGCAGACGATATATTCTAGAAAATTACTGTTGTGATGCTGGTGCCTACTGGAGTGTGTGGCAAGGAGAGGAGAGGTTTAAGGGTTGTCTGGGTAACACCGAGACCAACATCAATAAACTAACCCACTATTAGTTCCTATGAAACTTGTGATTTGCTATACAAGACAAGATTGTGGCATACCATTTCCCACCTTATGACAGTAGGGTCATGTGATGCCACGCTACAGAAAGCTGAATGAGGATAATGAGATGTGGTGGTTATAAAACTAAGGGAAATGGACAGATCAAGAAAAGAGGACGACCCTTCTGTGATTTTTGTTTTTGCCAGAGTTGGGGATTGAACACAGGTCGATCACTGAGTGAAATCCCCAGCCTCAAGACTCCTTTATGACCCTGAAATGTCTAATCTAGGAAAGACGAGAAAGCTAACTGGTAAAGCAGTTGCCTTGGAAGCCTGAGGGCCTGAGCTCAGTGTCCAGAATCCACAGTTTCAACAGCTGATTTTGTCGATGAGAGCTTGTGGTCCTGTGGTAAAGAAGTGGAGACAGGCAGATCCTGGAGGCTCCATGGCTGCCAGCTCTGCTTACTTGATGATGTACAAGCCAGTATGAGACTGTGTCAAGATCAAAGTGGATGGCACCTAAGGAATGACACCTCAGGTTGTTCCCTGGCCTCCATATACATGTATCTGCACAAACATGCCTGATCATAGACATGAACACACATGTCCACATAAACATGCACACATACACAGAAAGATGATGTGAGAGTTGGCAAGGTGGTTCAGCAGGTAAGGGCTCCTACCACCAAGTCAACTCATCTGAGCTCAGTCCTCGGAACTCACATACTGAGCCATCATCCTGGCCATTTAAGATGTCTAGAAGCTGTCTTATTCTCTACTAGCCTATAGAGTAGTAATGCTGGCTTTATCAAATGCAAACTACCATTTATTTGGACACACATGACAACTTCTCCAGTTACATTATATGTAAGACATTTTCTATACCTGTATTGCAGACATCAACAAAGCAAAACAACAAAAAACTACAACATAAACAATAAACCTTAACAGCTGATACCCTCCTATTGCCACCAAAGCCTGTTGATAAGACAAAGCTGGGTTTATAGCTTATTGAAATAAGAGGGGATCCCTGTCTACAAAGCCGTAGTCATGTCTTGGACCCAGGAAGGTAAAGGCTGAATCTGAGGCTCTGAGGCTGGTTTAAGACATGGGAAGGGATGTGGTAATCCTGATTCAGACTGGGTAAGGAGATGAGCACAGTGTGAGGCTCTGTGTAGAAGCAGTGGGGAGCCTTTGAGCTGAGAAGTGACAGATGTTTAGGTCATAAAAAGATCTTTTTAATGGGTCTTTTAGACAGTACCTACAGAAAAAACTCCTGGAAGAAGAAAAATCATATTAATGAAGACAGAGTACTAGTTAATTCATGCCAGTGGAGACAAGAGGATCAGCACATGTCACCGCTGTGTAGACAGTAGTGGGGTGGAGGTCAGTGTCCAGACTGAGAACAGTGGTGAAACTTGTGGCTCTTATGATTACGATCAATTTAGCGCCCATGCTTCCTTCTTTTGAACACAGCTCTGTGGTGTCAACAAATATGAAATGGGTCATTGTAAAATCAAGTTTGTTGTAATCATTGTTACCCAGCTCTTACCATTTGCCGGTGCCTTCTGGGGAGTCACAAGTATCCAAGCATTCCTTATACTCTGGAAGGAAAAGCTAGGAAACTGTTAGTGGCCAAGCCTAAATTTGCAGAGAGGATATGTCTTTATTGATTTGGCTTTGGGTATCTAGAAGCATCTGAAGCTATTAAATATTTTATAAGCTTTTGCTTACAGTATTTGCCAGGTACTGATAGCACTTCCATATTTGAAGTGAATTATGAGGTTATAAAGATGTTGAAGGTCTTCTTGTTCTGCTGCTGCCGTGGGGAGAACTACAGAAGCAAGAAGATTCATTATTACAAATACAATCCCAATCTCTGACTTTAATCATTTCTTCTGGATCCCCAAGAGATGTAATTGTTTACATGGAGCCCAGCAAGGTCCATATTTTGTAACAGGAAGCCACTGAGACACTCCACTATAAGAGCTCTACAATGTTGCCCAGTCCACCTTTCCCCATCCGTCCATTTACTCAGTAAATGTTTATTGGGTGTATGCCTCATGCCTAAGTGCCTGAGGAAAGCCACTAGCAGCTCAAAGCTCTTGCTGTTGCTCACACTTAGCTGGTAGAGGGGTTGAGGTATGGGATTCTGAGGTAGACTGTTGGGCTAGTATGAGTGAGGCCCAGTGTTTAATCCCTAGTATGAACAAACAAACAAATAAAATCATAACTGGAGGGAATATAGCAAGAAACAAGCAAGTATATTAATATCACATTGCCTTGTTTGTGTGTGTGGGTCTAAAGATTGCTTTGCCTTTTTTTGTTTGTTTGTTGCTTTGGTTTCTGAGACAATATCTCATGTTGCTCATCAGGCCTTGACCTTGCTTTGTAACCAAGGCTGACCTTGAATTCCTCTTGCTTTTAGCTCCCAAGTGTTAGATTACAGGCATGTACCACCTTGTTTGGCTAGTAATATATAATATTTTAGAGAGAGAGGAGAAGAATTGGGAGAGTACTGTGTATGTGCGGGGATGCTGTTTTATGATATAGGACATTTGGAGGAGAGTGCAGATTAGGTATATGTGAGCAGAGTTTTGAAGCAGCTAGGTGGGCTAACAAGATGGCTCAGGAGTAAAGGTGTTTGCTGCTAAGCCTGACTAATTGAATGTGATCTCCCACATAGTAGGAGAGAACTGACTCAAAACCAAAGGCCCTGTGTGGTTACAGCAAAGAGAATGAGAGAAGAGAACTAGGGAGAAGGAAAGACTGTGAGTAACAGTGGTGATAGGAAGGCTATGAACGTTTTTAAATGTGTTGCCTAGCTCAGTTTATGTGCCTGCAGGACATCTGGCATAGGATGTTCTTGCCAACAGGTTGGACAGAGGAAGTGTGAGAATGGTCTTAGTTAGGAAACCACCGGAGAAAGACATGTTTTCAGAGGTATTTGGAGCGTGACATTGGTATAAACCTGTGGAAGGGCAGGGAAGACGCTGCTTGGGTTTCTGTTTTTGGAAGAAAGGAGCAAGATTAAAACTTGTTCCTAACAACTGAGACAGGAAGTCAGTGAGAAGTGGTTTTAAAAGGGATGGAGAAAAATGGGGGGAGAATGGTACGAAAAGCCGATTGTCTTGGACATGCTGGGCTTATGGTGCTTTTAGAACACAGCAGACATAACCAGGAAGTTATACAGTCAAAGAGCTTGAGGAGACACAAATCTCAAATTCATTACCCTGTGTACATACATGACAGTTAAAACTATTGAGTTTTACTACTAGGAGTTTAATTGTGTAAGGCTATACTTAAAAATCTGAAAAATTTTTTCAATCAGTTGTTACAGATAACTTTGTGTGTACGATTTTGGAAATGTTTCCTCACTCTTGTATTTCTTTTGGCAATTCAGGAAAATCTGAACCTAGCCCTGAATTCCGCCTCAGCCATTGGTTGCACCGTGGTCAACATAGGTGCTCAGGATCTCAAGGAAGGAAAGCCTCACCTGGTCTTGGGACTTCTCTGGCAGATCATCAAAGTTGGTCTTTTTGCTGATATCGAGATTTCCAGGAATGAAGGTGAGAACATCAAAAACATTTCAGCTCAAGAAGGCTGTGAAGGAGGAGCTTACATCTCTGTGTTTCCCTCTCAGCCTTGATTGCATTGCTAAAAGAAGGGGAGGAGCTGGAGGAGCTGATGAAGCTTTCTCCTGAGGAGCTGCTGCTGCGATGGGTGAACTACCATCTGACCAATGCAGGCTGGCGCACCATCAACAACTTCAGCCAGGACATTAAGGTTTAGAGTTTTGAAAAATAATATTGCCCTTTCTTCTTCTCTTCTTCCTCTTCTTCCTCCTCCTCCTCTTCTTCCTCTTCTTCCTCTTCTTCCTCTTCCTCCTCTTCCTCTTCCTCCTCCTCTTCCTCCTCCTCCTCCTCCTCCTCCTCTTCTTCTTCTTCTTCTTCTTCTTCCTTCTCCTCTTCCTCCTCCTCTTCCTCTTTTTCTTCATCATTGTCATTGCTATTCATTATTATTTGTGGCATGGGCATATGCTACAATATGCATGGGGCAGCTAGAAAACAAACTGTGGGAGTCAATTCTCTCCTGCTCCCACGCAGGCCCTGTAGATAGAACTCAGGACACCAGGCTCACACAGCAAGTACACGCCCCACCAAGCCATTGCATTGACCCAGGCTTTAGATTTCAACATTCAGAATTTCTTTTTTACAATGAATAACAGTGCAGGATATAAAAAAATAAGGGGTTCATATTTAAAATTGATTCCACAAAGATGCTTCAGGATGAAAAAAATGCAGCTTACCTTTTCCTGTCTGAATTAGATGCTGATTCACAAAATTATTTAAAATTCACGAAATTTTTTAAAATAGTAAACCAGTTTATTGAAGTTTACTAGTCCAAATACCCTTAAAATTCAGTTCAGTTCATTCAGATATTTATTATGAATTTCCTGACTTTACCAGGTGCAGTGATGTAGAGGCCAGCTGTTGAGAAGCTTGCCTATTAGATCTAGCAAACCATACAAATCTTACAGGCTTAAAGAATTGGTTTAGTGTTTCTCATAATTTTGTGTGTTGATGCAACATGGCTAGGTGGTTCTTCTTTACATTTGTCTTCTGACATCAGTCGTCAGTTTGGATAATCTGAGATGTGTACAGTGGCATTAATCATGCATCTCTGTGGTCAACTGCCAGACCTTTCCACATGGCTACCCTGGGCTTCCTCACAGTCTGATACCAGATAGTCAAGAGTTTTTAGATAGAGGTTGACTTCAAGAAAGAGAAACCAGAGGCTTCCTGGGATTTGGAGCTTGGGAGTCCTAGAATATTCAGAGCATTTTGTTCAGAATATTCAGAGTGAATAGCCAGGGGGAAAGAAAACAGCCTTTGCTTCCTGCTGGGAAGAGCTCCATGCATGTTTAGAGAAAAGCTATAGTAGCCATCTTTGGAGATAACTACATTTGATGACTTAATCTAATGAGGTCATAGTTTATGTATAAAGACCGGAAAGGGTGTGGTAGAATGTAAGGGAGGCATCAGTTCATTCTAGAGATGCCAGGAAAGCCTTCCCAGAGTTTGACTTGATCCTTAGATGACACTGATGCTTTGGGATGTAAACACATGAGAAAGGTAAGTGGAGGGGCCTCCAGGTATAGGCAACAGCATTGCTAGAAGTTCGGGGGTGTAAGAGCAGTGCTAGACACCCTGAAGTATAGTGCTGTGTATTCAGGAGCCTCTAGACAGTGATGCACTGAGCTTTTAATATACCATTTTATTTTGACGTGGCAACACCTTTTCCCCTAAAATTATTTATTATTTTATACATTTAAAAGTGCTATTTCTTCTCTGTTTTTGCAGGATTCAAAAGCCTATTTCCACCTGCTTAATCAGATTGCTCCTAAAGGTGACCGAGACAATGGATCTGCCATAGCCATTGATCTTTCAGGGTTTAACGTAAGTTAATTTCTAAACTAGTTTTATGTACTGTAGTAAGAATACACGTGACATAAAATTAACAGTTTTGAGTGCATACTTCAGTGGAATTCTGTTTATGCATCGTTCTGTGCCACCATCACTACTGTCTCTTTCTAGAACTGTACCCTTTTCTTGATCTCATGGTGATACTATATCCATCCAGCAGTGACCACCCACTCCCCCAAAGGTGATACTGTATCCATCCAGCAATGACCACCCAGTCCTCCAATGGTGACACTGTATCCATCCAGCAATGACCACCTACTCCCCCAGTGGTGACACTGTATCCATTGTAACATTTTGGTTGAGCCCCTGAGTCCCGGGATTATAGGATTACCAGGATACTCTGCGTGTTTTCCTTCTTTTCAACTGTGGGTACAGAGGATGAGACAGGTTGCCCTTGCTTTTAATGCTCTCTCATGATGGTCCATAGAGCATTGGTTTTGGCTGTTTGGTTTGAAACTGTAACAAATGATCACTCAGTGCAACAGTAGCTTCAACTGTGATGGCGACATCTTCATGTCGTGCATCAGTTCCCTGCTCACCAGCCTACCTGACCGCAGCATGCAAACCTCGCTCACAGACTTCTCTTCGATACCTTCCATTTAATAGCTTCCCTTCCATTGGATGCTTTCCTTACAGGTCTGAAATCCTCGCTTCCTCTCTAACTTTGTATGAAGCTCATCATTTTGTATGTAACTCCTAGAACCTGCTTTTTACCTGAGATCTCTTTGCTCACATTGTCATCTGTCGTCATGCGGACACTTGTCCGTCATTTGCTCTTCTGTTTGGTCATTTGGCTCCTTTTCTTTCCAGGATTTTGCAGTTTTGAGGGGTGCTGTTCTTTTAGCTCTCTCTTTAAAAAAAAAATTGTTTTTATTTTGTATGTATGGGTGTTTAGCCTGAATGTATGTCTGTGCACCATGTGAGTTCCTGGTACCTGTGGAGGTCAGAAGAGGGCATCAGACCCCATGGAACTGGAGTTACAGAGAGTTTTGAACCTCTATATAGGTGCTGGGAATCAAACAAAGGCTCTCTAGAAGGGCAGCTACTGCTCTTAACAACTGAGTCATTTCTCCAGTGCCCCAAGAGACTTTATAATATTTAAAATAAATGGGGAGGTTGATTAGTGGTTCTTTCAGAGTCTGCTATTACCTGGTGTATTTGTGGAAATGAAATTGCTTGTAAATATTATATTTATAAAATTATATATAAATTATATAATTTATAAAATTAAAATTATAAAATTATTTGTTTTATTTCTTGGTTTAGGAGAAAAACGACCTGAAGCGTGCTGGATTCATGCTCCAGGAAGCGGATAAGCTTGGCTGCAGACAGTTTGTCACTCCTGCAGATGTGGTTTCAGGGAACCCTAAGCTAAACTTAGCCTTTGTCGCGAATCTTTTTAACACATATCCGTGCCTACACAAGCCTGACAATAATGACATTGATCTCAACTTACTGGAAGGTACGTTCCTTCTGTTTTGAGTTGACTCGTACATTTCTTACTGTGGTGGTAATGTCCTACTTCACCATCCTGGGTGGGGGACTCTGGTGGGAGATGTGATTATGTGTGTGTCCAGAAGTGAAGTCACAAAAAATTCAAATGAACAGAATACAATTGCCGGTTTTGTTCTAAGAAAATGGTGGAATAAATCATACTTAGTTGCCATTTCTCCATTAAAGTTAAGAGAAAACTGCCAAACATTTAAAGGACTCGCCTGAATGATTCTGTAATATAACTCTACCACCAATGTAGATAATGAACTATCTATTTGAAAATGTAATCTTTGCTAGCATCTTCCCTAGGAACCCAGGTTTGGCTTCACTGTTGCTCTTTTTAATGTTTTTAGAGTACATGAAAGATGATCATACTCATTACTTGTGTGTAGGTGGTTGTTATCTGTCTGATAATATAATACTTTCCTGTTTTGCTTCATGACATGCAGATTTGACCCCTCCTAATGTAGGTACTGTATTTAGTACTTTTCTATATCCTATAAATATGTCCACCCTGAGTTTTCCTTTTACTAGTGGCATTTATTCTTCCCATCTGGGTTAATAGTTACTGCTTTGCATTTTCATGCTATGTTGTCTTAATATGCCTACAGAACGAAATGACTGCAAGCAAGAAATGCAAATGGAATTTCATCATGTAGAGCAAGGCTTTGATTATGTTCACTCTACCTAATTTGCCTTCTATAATGATGGGATATTGCAGCAAACATATTAGAAACCAGTTTTGGCAATTAGACTTCATAGTTTGATGTGAAGTCTTTGTCTCTCTCCTGTGACAAATCTTAGCTTTTATCATGTGTCTTTGAAAGGATTTATGGTCACAACACATTTTGTTTCATATTGTTCATTACATATTCTAAATGTCATTGAAGATTACAATATATGAATTGTCTTAATGACAAAAGCATTCTCAATAACTAGTTCTTTCTCCTCATCTCTGCTACCTAGATTGTCTCCCACTTTCCTCCCATTCTCATATCCTTGCCCACGTGAGCACCATTTATACTGAAATGAGTAAGGGCAGTGCCTTGAGAGCTGCGGGAGGGAGAGCCAACCCTGAGACTTAGCTGCCCCGGTTTGGGAAGCTAGGAGGATTTTACATTGCAATGTGTGCTCTCCACAGCCATTCCTACTGTCTTCCCTGTGAGACAGAGTGAGTTGGCTTCATAGTTCTTTTTCTTTGGGCTGCCACAAGTAGAGTTCCAGTGCCCTATCACTTTGTGATTACAGTATCACAACTAATGACATTTCAGATGAAAGAAATTATAATTATATTTTAATTATGATATAAATTTAAATATATAATTATATACTTAATCTAATACACTTTCTGAGAGTCCTGTCAAATAACTACTATATTCTCTACAAAAATACATAACTGAGAGTAAAAATGACAAAAACATAGATTTCATTGTTTTTTTAAGCAAAAAAAAAAAAAATAGAGTTAAAAAAACAGAACTAAAAAATTCAGCCAAAAAGGAAGACTTCTTTTTCTGAGTCTGGAAAATTTCAAAATCCCTCTGTGTCTTACAGCAGAAGGCATTGTTTAGAGTGGCATATTAAAAATGATCTGCTTTTTATAGTTACTGAATTCTTTGCTAAATACCCTTCCCAACTTGCTCGCTCTCTTCTTTGTCATGTGTGGGTTTCTTGGCTGGTGTTCAGCATGCTTTTGAGAGTTTTCAGTGTGAACAAGGTTGCTACATATTTCCTCTAGTATTTCCTATGCTTGATACAATACTGTGGGGAATATCTATCAACCATCTTTATTTAGAACATATGTATGTCCTGACGAAGCTATCAAAAATGATTTAACTTGGACTGTCATTCGATTATTTTCCTCTGTAAATTTGTTTTTACAGATCCTTATGTAATTTTGACGTTTCCACATCCCAAATTCATATATTAGTATGTCTCATTGGCATAGAACTTTTGCCTGAAATTTAAAAGCCCAATCAAGTCTTCCTGCATATCAAATTGTGTCAAACACATATGCTGCATACAGGGAGACGACCTGAGACTTCACTTGGGATGATAGAAAATGCATACACCATATAGTTAGGAAAACTTTGTTCAAATCATGTTTCCACCACTTATTATCTGAGTAACATCTGTGAGTCTTGGTTTTCATATTTATATATATAACAAGTAAAAATATTTATTCTGATGTGATCATGAATGAAAGTATTTCCTCTGCAGCACGTGCTTAGTGATGGTCAGAGTGGGAGAAGGAAAGCACAGTCAGTGAGTGTGGAGTGTGTTATTTCTTCTTCTGTCTTCTCAATAACATATTTTAAAAAATATACTTGGATTGAAACTTTTGTCAATTTGACTTGAAAATTAAATAGAACATTTTATAGTGCTATCAGCAACATTAGAAATTAAGATTTTTAGTTACACAGTTGCCTTGGTTGTCTGCGATTTAAAAGCATTTTTAGTCTGCAATACATATGTTTTCAAAATGCTTCACTATGGCTCCTGCACAAGTGCATAGTGCTTGTAGCTTTGAGCATCTGTTTACCAAGATGACTTAAGTGGCACTAGGTAAATAAATGCTCACTTAGAAAAATCTATTCTACTTTCCATGTGTTAAAAATCAGAATAATGTAATTAGTTGAGAACAGGTAAAAAAAAATACAAAATTCCAAAACTTATAATTGTTTCCAAACTCTAAAATGTAAACTTAATGTTTTTTCAAATATCCATTGCATCACCAGTTTCAACGAACTTTGAAAATCTTAATCAAAATTGTATCACGCCATCTTTTGTAGTTTAAAAACATAATTTGGATTTTCCTAGCTGGAAACAATATAAACATTTACTAATTACTGAAGAAAACTGTATCTTAATACTGTATCAGTAAGTTAGAGAAATAACCAAAAAGCAAATCCAAGCCACGTGTGTCAAGCATTGAACATAATGTGCTTGTGTTGTGTGGTGTAGGGAACAGTTGAGGGATTTTAATTGGCACAAGTCAGTTTCACTTGGCTCTTTCAGGAAAAGTTTTCCCATGTAGACTGTTTATTACAAAGTAATGTAGCAGGTAAGACAGACAGGTCAGTTGCATTTTTGAAACCAGAGAGGACCGAATTTAAACAAGAAATTATTTGGTTAATGAAACTAACATTGTAGATTTTGGTGTTACATAATAATGTTGAGGCTCTGCATGGGGATAGGGTGAACCGTTTACTTCCTGAATAGTCAATGGGAAAACCGAATCCTTTAGATCGGACAGGGCCTCGGTCACTTGTGGACACACAGGGTCATACTCTGTGGCACTTAGTTTGAAGTTGACTATAGAGGTGACTGAGAGTCCTGGGGTCCAGGTGGCTTTACATTTCTATGCCAAATGGCTCTGCAAGGCTCTTGCAGATCAAACTCTAGAGTGACCCACACTGGCCTGTGTGTAGAAGAGGTGAGGTTTTAGCCTGGGATAGTTTGGGAATAAGATACTGTCTGTGTTATTTTATTGTCCCCTAGCTTTGTCAAAGACTAAGAAGGAATGCAGACACTCAGGACCATTTACTCTCAGTTAGATTTCTGTAAGTCAGATATGCCAGGGAGAGTTCCCATCTCTCCCCAAGTTGTGTATACCATACTCATGGGTGGTTTTTTGTTTTGTTTTGAAATATATGGTGTACACCCAGGGAGACAGGCTAAACCATTGAGGTGGTCTGTGGGGTCCTTACTGTGATGAAATGTGTCTCAGAACAGAATGACATGCTGTGGGTGGTCTGTGTTCCTCATGAATTTTCAACAGTAGTGATCTAAAGTAAAAGTAACTCAGAAGCTGGAAAAGGTTGATACCCCTCACTCCATAGTTTTTACATTGCCTGAAATCTTCTCTCCACTTCATTATTGGGTATAAAGTATAGATCTGTGTGCTCAGGAAGTTTCCTGTCCAACCACAATCCTCTCAAATGTAGAAGGCTGCATTTGATAGTCTTCCAGTCCATTTACTGTGCTGTTACCATGGCCGCTAAAACACTGGCATTATGTTTGGCCAAACCAGGTCCCTACTCTATACTACTTAAGTTGCCTTTATACTATCTGTTGCATCCCTGGTCAGAAAAAAACCCCATGGCTCAGTAGTAGTTCACAGACCTCAAATAAGGGAAGCTAGATAGAGAACAAACGGAGGCTTCCTAGATAGTTAGGACAAGGAAAAAAAAATCCCCTTAAAGAAATCGTATGTTAGACAGAGGCCAGTTTACCTCTACCAGAATACTTTAAGAATAATTCCTAATTATTTTGGCCTGAATCATCAGTGTAGATTTCTGTCTACTCTAGGAGAGAGCAAGGAGGAGAGGACATTTCGGAACTGGATGAATTCACTGGGGGTGAACCCGTACATCAATCATCTGTACAGGTAAAACATCTGACTGTGTTTTAGCCTTGCCATCATGACCTAACTTTTTAAGTTTCAACTCTAGTTTCAACATGAGAATATTTCCTCAAATCACAGGAATTTAGCCAACGTGTGGAATGCTGAGCAGTGGCAATCTGTTTTTAGTGTAAAAAGACTATGATAATAGTATTGGATTCTGTTACAAGAGTAAATTTCCAAATTTTTACAGTAGTTGATCTTGAAAATAAGAATTTATTTCAGTACTAAGGCTTAGAATAACAGTAATATCTCATAAATTATTCTCATCTATACATCATTTTTTTTACTATAACTCAGTTTTTATTTATTTTTATTATACTTTATTTATACTGTAATTTCACACAATTTTTCTTATTTATAGAAATAATTCATTTTCCCTGGGTAATTATTTATTTTGTCTTATTGTGTGAAATTTTTAAAATTAATTTTATTTTTTCAAAAATACCATTATTCTTCGTTGTAAGCCTCCCATCCTCTCTCCACCCTCTTCCCTCTTCACTGTCTCCAGTCCCTCCCTCTTTTCCATCACACCTTTTCTGTGTTCATGTCCTTCACGTGTATTCATGGATAGATGTAAGTCTAGAGCTGCATACGTGAGAAATGTACATCTGCCTTCCTGAGTCTTCTCACTTCATGGAACACAACACTTTACATTTGCACCTATTTCCTATGTGTGTCCTATTTTCATGCAAGGTAGCTCTTGAGGCACAGTGCGTAATGTCTTCTGGGTAGCCACGTGTACGTGCACATGTACCCCCACACACACACTTTACGTGAACGAATATGCATACACACACACTAAAGTTAAAAGAGGATTAAGATTTGTGGATGCTCAAAGTAACTTATCAATTTTAAGAACACTAAAGTTTTCAATGGTTGAAAGAAGAGAATTGACCAAAATTTTACTTAAAAGTATGATGTTCTTGAAATATTAGTAAAGGGCTTCAAGGTGTATGCATTTTTTCCTTCAGAAATAGCTCACTTTCAGAAGATCTTCAAAAGTAGCATAATCTTAAAGGGAACGCTTGGAGATAGAAAAACAATAGCCAAGCATCTAGTTAGCCAACAGCGTGTGTCTGTGAACTTGGGTTTGGATTTTATTCCTAGTCCACTCCTGAGCACTTGGTTCCCCATCTACAACGTACTCAGTCAGTACCAAAGCTTAACACTGATCTTAACTACATATCCTTTTCTTTAAATAAACTATTAAATGTAGTTTTAGAACTACTAGTCCTTGAACACTTCTATCGTCAGTTGGTTCTGGAATTTACTTGGAAATCATTCAGCTCTTTGGGCCTCAGGTTTCCATTGTTCAGAACATAAATAATAAAATAATAATAGTAATAATAATAATATCATAGTATATAAGAAGGGTGAATTCATTTAAACTTGAGAAAAGAAAAACTCATGAAATAGGTGAGATTCCGAAACTTACAGACATTAATGATTTCTCTTTGCATACAGAGTGCTCATGTGCTTTTCCAGTCAGACCGTAATAACATTGTGTGTGTGTGTCTCAGAACATTAGATGTCTCCATCGCTCAGCACAGAGCCGAGCCCCAACCGTTCCCTGCTGCGTGATGTGTGCTCAGAGAAGGGGCAGAAACTGAGGTAGCCAGTGTATAAGCTACTGGGGGACAAAGCCACACACTCAGTCCTTCACAGAGCTGCTACTTACAATGCATTGACGCTGCTGTCTTTCCTTTACATCAAGAGCTGAAAAGAAGCCTCCACAGACAGACTGCAAGCTTCACTGAGGACTTATTTTTCTGAATCCAAAGTAACAGTATTCTTTAGTATTTTTACATTCAGAACTCGTACTTCCTTGTAAATTCCTTCCTCTTAACTTTTATTATTGAACAGGAACAGCTACCCATTGAGGAGCTGTAATTTTCCTTGACTGTTTTTAACGTTTTTAAAAATCTTATAACACACGAACTCATTCTATTGTACAAGTTTCAAACAATAAAGTATATGGAATAAAATAAAAATGTAATTCTCCCTTGTTCCCTCTCATATTCCCTTTTCTACTCACAAGTAATCACTTTTAGCAATCCAAATACACACACACACACACACACACACACAGAGCTAATTTTTTATTAAACAAGATCAAACTATATCTGCCACTTACTTTTAAACACTTAATGTATCTTGTAGAACATTTTCTATCAGTCTTCTCAGACCAAATTTATTATATCTGATGACAGCCCAGGAGTTCATAGTAAGGCTAGTTGACTCAATAGTATATTTGTCTAATACTAGACATTTAAGTTGTTTTTGAGTTTATAAAAACACTGTCAACACAAATCTTCATACATGTGCAAATGTATGAGTGTGTATATAGGTACAAATGTCTCAGAGACATGAAGAAGATTGGGCGGACTCTTAGGTTGAAAGTTTGAGGTCAAATGAAATGTCTTGTCATTTACAAGCTTCAAATGGCTATTACATATTTAAAGACACATACCCACCTGTAGTATATTTAACAATAATAGCACCGACAATTTCCACTTCTTGATAGGTGTTTCCTTCCTGTTTCAGTGACCTTGCAGACGCTTTGGTGATCTTTCAGCTCTATGAGATGATCCGTGTGCCAGTCAACTGGAGCCATGTCAACAAGCCTCCCTACCCTGCTCTGGGAGGGAACATGAAGAAGGTGACTGTGGCTATATCGTTGTTGCTCTGAAAGAAAGCCAAGGGTTTTGTTTCTTAAATGTCAGTGTGTGGTTTGTGCCTGTAGATTTATTTCAACTCAAGATGGGTTAAACTTAATGGGTTCTTTATAAGCTCGGTTATTAAGTATTTAGAAAGATGGAGGCAATCCTTCCAGGCAGACACTTCATTACACTGTTTTCATCTTTAACAGGTTGTGGTACTTATGTTCTTTGAGATATACCCTGAGTGCACTCTTCTGCTATAATTGCCACAACTTGACAAGTCTTAACAGCATGCTCATTCATTTATGCGGCAGATAGATTTTGATTTCTTACTGCCTGCATGGCTCAGTGCATGATAGAGAAAAGCACGAGCCGTGAGTTGGTGCTTAGGAAGCTCTGCATAAATGATGGTGATACGTATACCAGCAACTATGAGTGAAATGAGTACTGTGGGGTTTTAAGAGACAAAGGCCCCCTCTGCTAATGTCGTGCAGGGAGTTGGATGAAGGGAAGGGAATGGATAGTGGTGGGAGAGTCTGTGGCTGAGAAATGAACCATCAGAGAAAGCGCTCATGTTCATGACACTTCTAGAATCGCCTTGGTAGTATATAACAAGACTATTTAATACAGTCCTTTGAGTGCATGATTTCAGCTTATTAACTCATGAAAACCGAGAAAGTCAGGCTGAGAAGATGGCTGAGTCGGGACAGTGCTTGCTGTGCAAACATAAGGACCTGAGCTCAGTCCCTGTGACCTCTATAAAAAGCTGGGTGTGAATCTGTGCACCAAACTTAAAACCAGATGTTACCCCACCCTGTCCTTACATTTTAGCTCTATGTACATTGATCTAAGTTAGCTCTAATTTGGGGTTTCCTGTTTGTCGCTGGTTGTATTGGCACCATCTTGGACTCTACATAGCAACCCCATCTCTCCTTTCTTACCATCGTCTCTCCTACGAATTTGCCTTTACTGAAACACATTTCATACAGAAGCCATGACTCATGACTGTAGTTAATTGGAAAGGTTTCCCATTCATCCTCACTGTTCCGTCTCCCCATTCATACTGTTACATGTTACTTTCATAAACTAGAAATTCATTTCACTTATAATTATATACATCCTCATAATGCTTTTTTCTACTAAATACGCTAAACAGAGATAGCTATGAGTACTAGAATTGTTTTAGCCTTTTAGTAAAAAAATTATTACATTGAGTGTGTGTGTGGGGGAGTATCATTGCATCTCTTGCTCAACTATTTTGAATGGATCCTTGACTAACATTTTAAAGAAAAGCAGTTGTACTATTTTTCTTAGTGTTCATTCCAAAGTGTATCTAATAAACACTCTTTTCCTACTAGTATAGGATTTTAAGACTTGGTGCTGGGAAGATAGCCCAGCAGTTGAGAGCCCTGGCTACTCTTCCAGAGGACCTGGGTTCAATTCCTAGCACCCAAATGCCAGCGAACAACCATGTCTAATTCTAGTTTCAGTAGATCCGATGTGCTCTCTGGCCTTTTCAGATACTGTATGCATGTGGCAAAATGCCCAAGTACTAAAATAAAAGGAGGAAGATAAAAAAGATTTTAGAGCTTACAGTTTCACTAGAGCAGAAATACCTCAAGTGGGACAATAGTGATGGTTTACTGGGTAAAGGTCCTTTTTATAAGCCTGAGGACCTGACTTCAAATCCCAGGAATTCACATACAAACTGGACAGTTAGCACCAGTGTCTATAATCCCAGACTTCTATAAAGAAGTGGGGGCGGGGAATCACCTAAAGCTTTAGGGTATGCAGGAAAACAGGCTGGAATGTGAGAACCGATGCCTGAGGTTGTTCTCTGACCTCCACATGTGTGCTGTAGTGTGCATATGCCCCATTCATACACATGTGCACACTTACATACATATATACAAGTGTAATCACAAAGAAAAAAATTGTAAAGTGAAAAATGAAAAGCATGCCTCTGTACATACATCACTAGATGATAACTGATAAGAAACCTCTGTAGAGACTGGACCAAAACATTGTAGAAAGGACTTAATGGATTCCAATGTGTAGAATGATTTACTTGGTGTTTGTCCTAGCTGTGTTCTGTTACTGTGAAGGTACACCATGACCAAGGCAACTCATAAAAGAAAACATCTAATTAGCATGCTTACAGCTTCAGGGGGTTAGTCACTTATCATCATGGTGGGAAGCAGACAAGCATGGTGCTGGAGCAGTAGCTGAGAGCTTTACATCTGATTCACAGGCAGCAGGGAGAAAGAGGGGCACTGGACCTGCTGTGGACTTTTGAAAATCTCCAGTGACACACCTCCTCCAACAAGGCCACACCTTCTAATCCTTCCAAACACTTCATCAACTAGGGACTAAGCCTGCTCATGTATGAGCTTATGGGTGACATTATTCAAGCCACCAGTGTTTACACATCAGATGTTTACTGTAGATGATATCACTGTGCTGAGAACAAAGCTGAAATGTGGTTCAGTTAAAGTTATTTAGTTATGTTTTGTGATGCTTGGGATTGAACCCAAGGCCTTTCCGATACTAGGAAAGAACTCTACCACTGAGCTACCACTGTGTGACACTATTCACTATTCATTCCTGGGGTGACTTGAACAAGCAAGCATCTTCTCACCCCAGATAGAGAGATGACAGATCAAAGTGAGGATACCACCAAAGTCCAGATTGGTGAACCACTGAGTTTTATTGGGGTCATTTACAGGAGTGCGGGTGAGGGTTCTTTATACAGGTGTGGGTGAGGGGTTACTTACAGGAGCAGAAATTACTCAAGTGCAGCTATATCAGCAAAGCCCACCCCAGCACCGGTGACAGCTCATGAAACATGAAACCTAGAGCTCACTGCACAGCTCACAGGGAGCTTAGTAGGTTGGAGAGTTTCTTTTCAGGCAGCTCAGCTGGTCTCAGGCTTGTCTAAGCAGCTCAGTCACTCTGAGAGCATCTCTGAACCATCCTTATTGATTGGATAAGCTTGGGGAGGGAGGAGCCCAGTGAATCTGGTCAGCTTCAGTGACTTCCTGAATTTGAGGAGCCCATAATGTTTCATTTCCCTTTTAGAACACTCTGTGTCTTTTTTTTTTTTTTTTTTTTTTTTTTTAGAGATTTTTTTATTTTATGTATGGGAATATACTGTTGCTGTCTTCAGACACACCAGAAGAGAGCATCAGATCCCATTACAGATGGTTGTGAGCCACCATGTGGTTGCTGGGACTCGAACTCAGGACCTCTGGAAGAGCAGTCGGTGCTCTTAACCACTGAGGCATCTCTCCAGCCCGAACACTCTGTGTCTTAAGAGACTTCCCTCCCAGGCAGAATATCTTATTGAGGAGGAAACTGTTACATAACAGCCATATCCCAAAGCCTTTGCTGGTCAAGTGGACAAGGACCTGATTGTCAAAGAATGCACAAAATAAAAGTTTTTAGTCATAGACTTTTCATTAATAAATTGTGTAAACTGTAATCAGGACTTCAGGGTTCAGCCATTTTTCATAATCTAGGTCAATCCCATCCCCGTGAAATGGGTGTAATTGTTTTACTTGGTTACTATGAAAAAATTTGGTCATTGATGATGTCATTGCTGTTACAGGTGGTTGGACTAGTTGGCACAGTCTGGGAATGTTTTTTAAGATCTGTTTTTATACTAACAGCTTTGCACACTTACAGATTGAAAACTGTAACTATGCAGTTGAGCTTGGGAAGAATGAGGCCAAATTCTCTTTGGTTGGCATCGCTGGGCAGGACTTAAATGAAGGGAATTCAACACTTACCCTGGCACTGGTATGGCAGTTGATGAGAAGGTAAAGGCTCATGTCTTTAAAGTAACACAGATTCTTTCAACAAGTCATCTGAACCAAACATGTAGCTATTTTCAGAGACATGTGAACATAAGAAATATACATTGTGAAATAAATTAATCCTGTAGAAGATTTGGTATTGGTTATATATTTTCAATATTATAGTGAGCTAATCTCTAGCAATATAATCACTTAACATCAATACCTCTTAAGTGGCTTTGTAAGGAGTTGTTTTAAAATTTTAAAACACTATTCAGTAGTGCTTGGTTTTAGTTAGTGAGCTTTATAACCTTTGAATGTAACTACGTGCAAATGCCAGGCTAAAGTTAGGAATGTTAACTTCTGGAGTTAACATCCTCTAGTTTCAGACCCACGGGTGCTGGGGTTCCAGGTGCAAGGACTGCTTGGCTGTTTCTCAAGTGCTGACGTGTGACGTGTGAGAACAGATTTCATCCCCTTGTTACAAGTTCATTGTTTCTGTTGCAGATACACGCTGAAAGTTTTATCAGACCTTGGAGAAGGTGAAAAAGTCAGTGATGATGTCATCATTAAATGGGTCAATCAGACCCTTAAAAGTGCAAACAAAAGTACTTCTATTTCCAGCTTCAAGGTAATCAAGAAAATTTTAAAAATTATATCTAAGTTTAATGGGAGTTTTAATGAGAATTACCTTAGTGAGGTTCAGAATTATATTAGTATTAGGCCCCTGAAACATATAACCCAGGGATTTAGACATGACAACCTAGAGATAATTAGAATTCTTGTAGTTTTGATTGGTTATCTGTTGAACGCAAATCCAGGTTAGTGCATTTAATCTGGTAATCTGATGTTAGAAATAGAACAGAGTCCAAAATCCAGTTGTCAAATGTAAAAAAGGACGTCCAAAGCGTCGGCTGTCTCCACAGGACCTGTAATGTTTTGTGCTCCCTAGCAGCTGTCTCTGAGTTGCGTTGGCATCCTGTTCAAGGCATACAGAGCCGGCCACACCGATTCAAGTGGGGATTGAGAAAACGGGTAGGAAACCAGTTCTCCCCATCCAGCTTCATGGTGCACCTAACACTTTCCTCTGAGCATCTGAGGATGATTCATAAAGCACGGGAATGCAACCTGCACATACATACACACCCACTAATTCATGCATCTTCATTGTGGTTTGCTGTTGCATGCAAGTTGGTATTAGCTACAGATAAGCATGTCTGCTTGAACATGTTCATTCAGTGATCCTTGTGTTTGTGATTTTTATTGTATGTTTTTAAAAAGCCCAGCAATTTCTATTAAAAATATCTTTAAAAGTGTCAGTAGATGAAGCCCTAAGCTATATTTAGAGATCCTTGCCCATCTTTATTGTTTTCTCTGCCTTTCCTCCATGTATTTAACAGTGTTTGAGAATAACAGAAATGTCATATATTGATGAATTCAGTCATTTTATAAAAACGAAGGCTCCACATGGTTTTAACAGAATAGATCTTGGAAGAGATACTCCCTGGGTCCTAATTCAAGTACATCCTTTTTTCTTCTTTTATAGCTTGGAACACACTAGTGACACTATTGTTTGTTGATTTTTTTTTTTAACTAACTTTGAGTCTGTGATTTGTCGCCATGTTTTAGATATGAAATACAATTTTAAATGTAAAATATGAGTGTGGTATATTATAACATTCTCTAATTGGTCATCTTTGAAAATATTATGCTAATGTTATACATACTTGCATACTTACTAATACTTACTAATAAGGATGGTAGAATGCTTGCCCAGCATGTAGGAAGACCTAAGTTTGATTCCTGGTAACAGCAAGCAAATAAATATATAAATAAGTCAATAAATAAAGTGATCAAGTACAATGAAGAAACATTTAGGGACACAGTAATATATTGAAGTATTACTATTAATTGTCTTAGATCTAGCTAAAGAAAAGCCATAAAGTATAAGAAGTTTATTTTAGCCTTCAGTGTTTAACATTTACATTAAAGACAAAACTTACAAGATGAATGTAATACTATTATGGAGTAAGTTATAAAATAAAGCAGTGCAGATATTTTGTCAAGTGTACAGTCTAGCTGATCTTCCCAACTCAGTGGTGAGTGAGGAGTGGGCAGAGAAAGCATATTTGTTGGTGGAAGATGGGATTGAAGTACATTATGAGAAAGAGAGAGAGAGAGAACACAAGAGTGTACAAGTTTATTTGAACATCAGATGGAGGAGGAGGGATTTGAACTGGTGGATAAAAAAGGGATCTGGCAAGGTAGATCCCTCGATCTTGTATAAAGGCAAGATCGAGAGGATGGCCTCTACAGCGTATTGTACAAAACAGATCGAGTCAAGATGGGGAGAAATTTGTCTTAAATAAGGGATGTTGAGTCAAAGGAGTAATGTGGAGAAGGTGATTGTTTCAGAAAGAAAAAGTTCAGGTGTGCAAACAGAACAGGCTGGAAGCATGGTGTGACCGAAGAGTGTAGGGCTCTCAGCAGAGTTATGTGAGATGGGACTTGGCTTCTTGCTTTGGAGAAGCAGGGGAAAGAGCACCCAGTTCTGGATAACTGTGCCTCAGAGAATTTGAAGGTTGTCAAGTGGTATTAGTAAGAAAATATTAACCACATTAAGACAGATATTATAATTAAGCACTTTAGAGAACACATATTTAACTCTTTTATTTGTAAAGAATTTTTCCCTCACCAAGAAGAAAGAGAAGTAGTAGTACTTCAGTAAGTAATAACTATAGTGAGACTATTTGTCATTACACTAAGCACTCTACACAGCTCTAGGAACAAAAATGTGAGCATTAGAGACGTTAATATCTTGTCTGTCACCATGCACCTTTCAGAGGGAAGAACTGGCTTTTTTTTTTTTTTTTAAATCAAGGTCTGTCTTCTTACAGACAAATTTAAAACTAAACTCTGTAGTTGTATGGCCCTGGGTTTCACCTGCTACCTATGTGACTGACATAATGCTCACTCAGTCGGTAAATATCAAAGCTCCCTGTGTCAGGTGCCTTGTCACCGTGGCTACCAGTGTTTTCAAAGAGCTTACTGTTCAGGAAAGTACACAAATAAGAAAAAGAGCATTGCAGTCTGAGGTGTCCGCAGTCCTTTGTAACTCAGCTAAGGAGGTGGAGAATGGCAGTGCATGAAGACATCTGCTTTTCAGAGACCTTGGCAGTTTGCAGTAGCAGCTGGCCTACATCTATTGGTGAATGAAACAGACCGAGTATCCGGTTTTTTATTTAGTACCTTGGGCAAGTTCTACTGTTAATTTCTCTGTGTTTCAGTTTCCCCAAATCCGAGATGGTGATAATGTCTGTCTTATAGGATCATTGTAAAACTAAATAAGTTAACAGACAGCAGACAACTTAAGCATGTCTGGTACACAGTAAAGGCTTGATAGTGCCACGTGCTACACTAATGGCCCTGCCTGTATATAAAGGTCATTATATGTGGAGGGACTCCTATTAAGTCTTTTAGAAAACTCTCTTGGTCACATCCTTGTTTTTTCTACTTTTATTTTTAAAAACAACATCAACAATAGTAAAATATAGTATCAAATTGAAGGAAAAAGTTTATTATCTTAGAAATCAAGATTATAGAGACTATTTTTGCTTATATAATTTCTTTATGCTTAACTTAAGGGAAAGTGCTATAAATGTGCTAGATATGGAATTAAGGATTGTTACACTGCCCTCTACCCCTCAGCAGTAAAATAATGTCATACGTGATGATGTGCAAGTCAGAGGGTCAGACGCTAGGTCTGTCACTTAAGGTACAATCTTTAAGAACTTAAACTTTTCACTTAACTTAGTAAGACCTTTTCCCATGGTAAAACATGGAAAATAGAGGAGAAAAAAAACCCATTGTTTCCTAAACCTAAATCAAGATATACTTAAAATGCCACAAGTACACAAGCAATCAGTCAATCAGTCAAGTACAATTAGGTCATTTGTCTGTATTTGAATCATAGAAATGTATGAAAAGTGAGCCAGGAGAAATTTAAATTTTCCTAAAGTGACAGAACCATTAAGTTTCTCTTTAGGAAGTATCACACCCTACAGTCCAGCTTCATCCACAGATTAACAGACTCATTATCTGTGAGGGAGACTAGGCCTGTACTTAGTTTCTTTGCAGTGTTGAGGATGAAGCCATGGGCGTGCCAGGCAAGCTGTACCATTACACCATTAACAGGGCTCTAATCTTCACTGTGAGCCAGTACTCCAGCTGATCTTCATATAGGCATGGTTTGCTTTTCAGAATCAGGAAATATACTAACCGCCAGGTCCAGAGTACCAGCATCATTACATCATTAGATGTAAGAGGCCTCATTTTTTTTTAATCTTCCATTTGTATCCCAAAACCTGTTTTCTTCTAGAATAAATAAACTAGATTTACACCCTTTCAAAGGAACCTTTTGTCACAAAACATTCTTCAAATTATTTTCAGTCATTATTATGAAGCCATATTTGTCCAGAAACTGTATTTGTACTTTCATTATATTCCAGTAAAAATCAAGAATCCAGTGACATCCCCATCCCAGAGTTTAGGTAAAATCGTGTTTCTGGCTTCGATAGTAGGAATGTAAGTTGGTTTAAGTTAAAGAGAAAGGTACTGACTACAGTAATGGAAGTACAGAGGGCCCTTAGACTTCAGGACCGTTGCAGCCAGTAGTTTCTCCCTCCACACCCACCACTGTGTTGTTATTTAACATGCCAACTTTATCCCAAACTGCTTCTTGTCTCAGTTGTGTTGCTGATTACAAAAGAGTGTTCATCCCCTCATTCACATTCAGAAAAAGGTTGTTGATTTCTGAAAGCTGAATTAACTTAGGCTCAAATAAAATTATTGTGGTAAACAGGATAGAACCATGCTGTTCATCTTAGACTAGGAGCTTTCCATGTTATTACTATCCCTGGACAAGAGCTTTTAGGTACTTTTTTCTTCTTCTTCCTCCTCCTCTTCTTCCTCCTCTTCTTCCTCCTCTTCCTCCTCCTCTTCCTCTTCCTCCTCCTCTCCCTCTTCCTCCTCCTCTTCTTCCTCCTCCTCCTCTTCTTCTTCCTCCTCCTCTTCTTCCTCCTCCTCCTCTTCTTCCTCCTCTTCTTCTTCCTCCTTCTCTTCCTCTTCCTCCTCCTCCTCCTCTCCTTCCTCCTCTTCCTCCTCCTCTTCTTCTTCCTCCTCCTCTTCTTCCTCCTCCTCCTCTTCTTATCATAAACCATAAATCTTATTCAGGTATGGGGCAACTCTTTCTACACTATAATTTACATAAAGACTAAAGGAAAATCATATTTTAAGTGGTTTATTATATGTGTTGGTTGCAGAAAAGCTTACTATTAAGTACAGAGATAATATATAGATTGGTTTCGGTTATGTGACTATGACCAGAAGAGGCTGACATTTGTGAAAATTTAAGGTAAGCAGTTCATGCATGTCTATCTTTATTTCCTAGGATAAATCTATTAGTACAAGTTTGCCTGTCTTAGATCTAATAGATGCCATTGCACCAAATGCAGTCCGTCAAGAAATGATCAAGAGAGAACACTTGACTGATGAGGACAAACTGAACAATGCTAAGTAAGCCCTTCTGCTCTCTCAGACCATAGTGATCTGTTTGTCATCAAAAGGCCTTACAGGGACATTCTTACCCTTTAAAGTACAATTTCTGTGGGGAATAGGGTTTTAAAAAATCATCCTTAACCTTTTTTGTTAAGTTAATCTTATAAAAGATTCTTCTGTTAAAAGAACAAAAGACAGCAAACAGATCCCAAGATGTCTGCCTTTTCTTTTCAAGATACGCCATTTCAGTCGCTCGGAAGATTGGTGCCCGGATATACGCGCTGCCTGATGACCTTGTTGAAGTGAAGCCGAAGATGGTGATGACTGTGTTTGCCTGCTTAATGGGAAAAGGACTGAACAGACTAAAATAATGAAACATTTACTGTGACCTGCCATGTTATATGCATCGAATGTCTCAGTTTACAGAATTTTGAAATGTAGTGGGTGTAAAATCAGAATATCTGTATGCTCAAAATAGTTCTGTATCTAGTAATGAATAGTATCTTGTCCATACCAGTTATAATTTGTCATCTTTTTTGGATAACACAATTACCTTAACTATCAATACCAACACAGGAATGTCTTATCAAGCTGCTATTTCATAATTATATTATTTTATTTCCTAAGAGTCTTACCAAAATGAGACTAATCCTTCTTTTTTCATGGCTCAAAAAAGACCTGTATAAAGTTTTGTCAGGTCCTTCTATTAAATGTGTTTGGATTTTTTGATGTGTTATTTAATTTTGATCAAAAACGTACCTAAAGTCATAATATGACTAAATCCTTTTAGTTTTTCCCCCTTAACTATGTAAAGTGATCTAAATTTTTCTGTAAATTTCTATATCATATAAAAATTTAAAGGGATAAGTATAATCCATCAACATTAAACTTTTTAAATATGAGAACTAACTCTTGAATAAACCCCCAAGGTTCACTCTTGTTTAAGCTTAGGAGCTTTTTACTTAAAGTTTGATTGTAACTCCATTGCTACTTTACATGTCCTAGTTTGATAATACAGTTTTGTCTCCAACATCGAGCATAATACTATTCGTTGGTAAGATGTTACATATATGTATTTCTCTAAATCATCTGAGTTACCCACATTTTCTTAAATGGTATGTATTAAGTGGTCAGCCAGCCATTAAGTATTTATTTTGCCCCCACAATGTGTCTGACACTTTTCAGTTGTGGATATCTGATATGTGAAGGTATGTTTTGAAAATATTATGAATGTGACTATCATTATTTTTCACCTAATTGCTTTCAAATACTTTCAGCCAAACATTGGATAGAATGCCCCAACTGACACCGATCCTATCCTGCTAGTGTCACATTACACTTGCTAGTTTCAGTCTATAGTGAAACCTACATAATTGGAATATGCCCACCAAATGGCTTCAGTAGAAAGCTGTGTATATAAAAGATAATGTCTGTTGTTGTTTTTCTTGGTTTTTACAGTCTTGTATAAACCAGAAACGTTTAAGGTTTGTGATCCTTGGAAAGAGTTAAAGCTTGCGACCTCTTTTCCCCAGCAGTTTTAGCAGTAGAGAAATTCTGTTGCTCATAGTTGAAGCCAGAAATGAGCTCCCCCGCCCTCCACTCTAGTGCCAGTGAGCACTACTGCTATGCAACAAAAGTGCTGTCACTTCCCTCCGTGTGAATGAGTCGTCCGGCCACTGATCAAAGCATACATCAGAGTGAGAGTGTCTATGTCTTTAGGGTAGACTTTTTTAAATGAAGTACCGACAGGTGGGATTCTGAAATATATTCTTCTACATGAAATTTCTTTGCCTTTTATATTTTGATGATTGTTTTCTTATATGAAGATATAAGTATGCTTCTGCTCTTCCTGAGATTACTTAAATCATGCCTCTCTGATTTTTTTCACTGTCATATTTACTAAAATAATCTGATTTACATGGAATTTAGCACTTTAAGGTGTTCTTTTTCTCATGAAGTATATTTAATAAAAATGCTGTGTATGTAGAATGTGTGTTTATTTCATATAAAGAAAAATAATAGAACCTTGAGTATTGATCTGTTATCAGCTTATTCCCCCACAAAAGACTACAATTCCTAAATGAAGTACTAGAAAAGCTGTATTTCTTTAGTGTCTTTTTCTTTCATATAAGAAAAAACTTTTTAATTCTAAAATTTTAATGTTTTTATTATTATTGTATGGATGATATGTGTGTATGGACATGCATGGACAAATTTGTTGGGTCAGTTTTCTCCTTATACCTTTATGGGAATCGAACTCAGGGCTTCAGGTTTGCACATCTAGCACTTTTATCCACTGAGCCGTCTCACCAGCCCTCATACGAAGAGTTTTATTAAAGACAAACTTCAGGATTGTTACAAACTTTGTGATGAAGTCATTTGAGTGGATAAAAATAATTAGCGCAAATTTATTGTCTCCAGTGTCCAAGTACCACAAGCGGATTCTTGGACCTCAGCTAATAAAAATAGCTACAGTCTTTTGACCTACATCCTAGAAGAGACAGCCCAAGAAATAAAGCAAGGAAGAAATAGTGAGATTGCAGTGGGAGGGAATAGTGGGAGGAGAGAGATTTACTGCAGACCGACTTGAGAGCAGAGGAGGGAGGCTATCTGCGTAGTGAGGTAAAGGCTCTCTGAGAAAACAATTTTGGACTGTGTTCAGCAGGGAAAACAAATGCAAATAGTTGAGTGGGCACCATGAAAAAGACACAGACAGATGTGCTCCTCAAGTAGTAAAGGGGAGGTAGACATGGAAAAATATAAATAGGATCTTACTTGTAGGACTAGATCTAAATCTGAATTTCTTTCCCCTCTGACTGGAGTTGTTATTGTTTGTGTTTTGTTTACTTGTGACTTGAGGGAGTTGCTACTTTTGAGGTTTTTTATTTTTGCATAGCATTGTTTGCCACAACTCCAACATTGATCTTCATATCACAAATATGCCAAATCTTCATATCTTCATATGCCAAATATGTAGGTATTCTTAGAATGTCCCAGTTCACAACCGCTGAGCAGTTTATTTGTATCTGAGACAAACCAAAAGCCTGTATTATAACATCAGCTTGCCTGAAGTAGGCTCTCTAATGTTTTAGAAAGTCTCATAAGATTATTACCAAAGGGGGTTGGAATTCCCTCCAATCTTAGAAATTAATCCAGTCCCATAGGAGTTCTTTGGATAAAGAGTCTGTGTATGGCTGTGAGTCATTTGAGTTCTTAACCTCAAACACTGAAATTTTGGATGGGTCAGGGTTAGAGTTCTGCTACTGGCTAAACATTTTGCTGAGCCAAGTAAGTGCATATGCAGAATGAGGGTGCTCCTCTCTTCCACTGGCTACACCTTGAGCCACTTGGAAATTTCACCAAATCCATACACTTGGACCTGTATTAAACACTACAGAACAATGTTTTGTTTAAAAACAAAAACTGGAACAACTCGAGATTATCATTTATGTTAAACAGAAAATGTTTGAAAAGATGACTTTGGCATCAAAGGCTTTTAGAGGACATCTAAAAAAAAACATTGATTTTTAAAAATTAGTAAATTAAATGTTGAAAGAGAAAGTAATGGGACAAAGTAGCCTGAATGGGAGAGGAAGTATTACCGTCAAATTTAAGTACATTTATTCATTGCTTTAAAAATCTAAACCTTAAAACGTAGAGTTCAGATTTACCCCCCTAGCGTTGAGTGCAGGAAGCAATAGAAAATTTTCGAAAAGATTTAGTTTTCAAGTCGCATTTGCTGAGTATCAGACAACTGTTGTCTAAATAATAGATCTTTTAAAATTATATGTGATAAATGTAACAAGTCCACTAAAAGGACTTATAACAAGTCCTTATAACAAGAGTGAGTCCTAAACTGTGCTTATACAATGGTTATAGGTCGCTTTTGACTTACATGCAAATAACAATAGTGGAAATATCAGGAATGTTCTGTCATATTAAATCACAAAGATTGTTTTTAAAATGGCCTTTAGGAATGAGGGAAATGTAAACACAAACTCCCAAATCAAGTTGCTTGGCCAAGCTTTAGGACAATTCCGTACAGGATTTCAAGTAAACAATCCTTCAGAAGCTCCATGGCACTTTCTGTGCTGCAGCGGCAGCAGCACATACAGGCAGCGGATGAAGTTACCACAAATCCGCAACCAAGCGGTTCCCATGCCCTCAGGTGCTCAAAGACGCTGCCGAGGCGCCCAAGAGGCTAGGCGAACGACCAGAGAGGCCCATCAGCTCTGGAGCCCCGCCCCTTCGTCACCCCGCCCCTACAGGCCCCGCCCCCGAGCCCGGCTTCACCGTAAGCCCCGCCCCGGTGTCGTCGCCTCCGCGGGGCTGAGGATGACGTGAGGAGAAAGCCGCGAACCTCTGCCTCCTGCGGGTGCTGCTGGGCCAGCGGTTCCCACAGCCCCGGAGCCAGACGTGCTGCGAAGCGCACCGCCGAGCTCCCCGGCCGGCGGCCCCCTCACTCCCTCCCAGGCCGGGCCGCCCTCTGTGCGGCCCCTGCGGCTCCTGGCACGGCCCCGCGCTCGGCTGCCGCCCTGGCGCGCTCCACTCTGTCGTCCCCGGACGGGCGCGGACCAGCTCGACCGGGGCGCCGGCGGCTGGGCAGAGGGCGCTGGCCCCGGGGCCGCGCCAGCGCGGCCACCAACCTGGGGCTGTCCGTGGAGGGCGAGTGCTGGTTCCGGGGCGAGGCGACGCCCTTCGGGGCCAACGGGCCGCACGCAGATGGGGCCGTGGGAACGACTCACCCATTTTCCAGCTCGGGGTCGGGGTCGGCGCCCATGGGGGCCCCGCCTCCGTCTCCTGGCCTGCCCCCGTCCTGGGCCGCGATGATGGCGGCCCTGTACCCGAGCACGGACCTCTCGGGCGTCTCCTCCTCCTCCTTGCCTTCCTCCCCATCCTCCTCATCGCCCAACGAAGTGATGGCGCTGAAGGATGTGCGAGAGGTGAAGGAGGAGAACACCTTGAATGAGAAGCTTTTCTTGCTGGCGTGCGACAAGGGTGAGAGCTAGGCCCCCTTTCTCCACCTCCGGACACCCCTAGCAACCACTCCCTGGGTCCGGCCCCTGCCTCAACTTACTCTGGGCGCTCCTGGTTTTTCTTGCGTGCAGCGGCTGTTCCCACAGCTGTGCAGCCCGCAGGACTTCTGCCTAATTGAGCTTGAGCAGCCGGCAGGTAGGGCGGGGGCGGTGGATTCCCGCGGGTGGGATGTTTCCTTGACGAAGTGGGAGCCTTGATCCCGAAGTTGCTCCACTTTTGTCACTGATAAACTCTAGTTCGGAGTTACTTCTTCCTTTGGGAGCCAGAGGCTAGTTTTGGACCTTCTAATCCGAAAAGTCTACGAATTTTCCTTATGATTCCTCTGATTTATGGGCTGTCACCTTGTAGGGTTTTGTTTGTTTGTTTTTGGTTTTTTTTTTTAAAGACTTTTCCCTGTGTTTAGCATCAGCCAGCAGTGCCTTAGCCTATTACAGTTGAGTGGTATCCCATTATCCTAAATACAAATAATACGAAATAAGGCTAGACACGAAAAATCCTTCCCTAGTTGCTGAAATTTTCCCCAAATTTCTGTAACCCCTTAGCATGTTGGTATTTATCAGAAAGGAAAGTTTATTGCTTCACAGAGTTGGAGGGAGGCAAAGGTAGTATTGGCGAAATAATGTGGAATATACTGGTTTTGAATCTAGAAATTGATCACTTTATGGTCACATGAAAAGACAAGCATGATTTCAAGTGATGCAGGAGTGGGAACTTGATTGCTCTCAGATTATTTTTAACTCCTTCTACCTGGAAAAAAAAGTATTAAAACATTCTCATTCCTCAGTTAAGCAGTTGGATGTTGAAAGGCTAGGTTTATTTGGGAAAACTTTGTTGGAACCATGTAGATTTCTGAAACCTACTTCCCGAGGCCCTCTCACACAATGAGAAAACTAGTTACATACAGAAGGTTTTGGTTTTGTTCACTTATAGATGTTTAAGTCAACATCTCCCTAAACCTTTTAAAGCATTTGAAATAGGTTTTTACACGACTATACTTAATCTTAGCCAGGCCAAAAAACCAGTCCCTTCTTGACATTTCACTGTGGAATTTGAGCTGGGATGGGGAGGGCAGACTTTCACCTGTCCCCTGGAGTCATCCTAATTGTCTGGTAGGCTTGCTACATTATAAGGAAGGATGCTTTAAGTTTCTGTAGCAGCTTTGTGTTCCTCAGGGCTCAGGATGCTTTCAAAATGTGCAACATTTCCTGGAGAATAGATGCCACTGTTGTATTAACACCTTCCTTAATGTATTTAGTGGTACTTTCTGTTTTCCCTATTTTGGAAGAGATTTGAAGGGTGTGAGGTTAGGGAGGAGAGTGGTTTGGGTAATTAAGAAGCAGAGACCTGAATATTGTTGAGAAGTTTTATGTTGGTAGTCAGCACCTAATATAAAGATGTGTATAAGAAGGAAAATAATTTGCATAAAGGAGGAGTGATGAGAGAGTATAGTTAGCATGTAGGGTACTGGAGTTATATAGGCATCATTCTATACAGCTCACAAATGTCACTAGTTACAGAACTTAAGCACTCTGTACAGGGACATTTTGTAAATCACCAAAGCTTTAGAATGTAGCAGTTGAGAAGTGTACCATGGGAAGTGGTTCACGGTTATTTTAGTGAAGGAAGCAGCTAGCTGCCTTACTGGCGTGTATCTTCTGACCTCATGATGTGTTTCTTTTTATTATTTTTTTAACTTGCTGGTCTTTGCCATGCTATCAAAATATATACATGAAGTTCTTAATTGTGTTAAGGCATTGGACAAAAAGCTCTATTAATGAGTTCCTGACCACATCCATATTCTTTAGGAATTTTTCTGTAATAAAGATGTTTTCTTTATGTGCAGTAGTGAGGAACAGTAAGGGTAAAAATGTATGTTTATGTACATAATAGCTTCCTCTGAGCAAACATATGTTAAACTTGAGTAAAGGACATTTAAAGGTTAAATCTGAATG